CATATTCCCAAAACCCCACTTACAACTTGTGAACCCCTATTTTTATTTCATGTCAACATAGACCCCCCTTGAATCCCTGGGGTTCACCTAGACCACTTAGGGAATCACTGGTGTAGACTATAAAAGTAATTATTATTAGAATCTAAGCAAACATAAACCTTTTTTCTTTTAATTGTAAAGGAAATTCAATATGCAAAATCCCTGCTACTTGATAAAGAGCAGGTGGTGTGTGCAGAGTTGCCACCTGTCCCGATTTTGTCGGGACAGTCCCGATTTCGAAGACATTGTCCCGCGTCCCGACAGCCTATCGATTTTGTCCCGATTTTTGATAATACTATAATGTGATCTCAGCTCACTCGGTTGCGCGCCATCTACCGCACGCCGCATGTGCGCAGCACAAATATACATACCTCACACACACATATATAGTGTGTGGCGAGTTTTTTGTTTGTTGAGTTAAATTGAAAGATTGAAGAGAGAACTGCGTCGCGTCGCGTCAAACTCGAAAACGTAATATATTTGTCAACTCTACATTACACGTCCTCAGTTCTTTAAAAAGAATACCTTTTTAGTAGTAAATAAAGAATTATTGGTTGGCAATATTTTTCGCAATAATCACAAAGCTAAAATTATTTGATGGCATGCATATGACCTCATTAAACATTTTTGTAGAAAAATGGCACGTTGATGTATAAAGATTCGCCTACCCTGAACTAGACTAAATGACCGATTAGGAATAAGTAACAATAATGTTACGCAAAAATATAAACCAATCAAAACATCTGGTCTTAAACTAAGAACCTCCTTTTTTGAAGTCGTTTAAAATACTAAAACCTTCTCCTGAGTGCAATAAATACTTTCTGAAAACCGCATCGAAATCGGTTCAGCCAATCGCGAGATAATCGCAGACAAACATACATACATACCTAAAGGTCAAACTGAGAACCTCCTTTTTTGAAGTCGGTTAAAAATAAATACACATAAGATCACAAACTAGTTTTATTTTCTGTAGTCCGTCTTATGGGTTATATTGGATTGGACCATGACTAGACTAAACTTCGAACTAGTCCGAACGTCTCTGATGACTACTTGATTGTCCCGATTTTTATTCCCGAAAAGGTGGCAACCCTGGGTGTGTGGGACTCTCCATCCGCATGGACCTATCTGAAGGCTAGTCAAAATGCAGATGGTATACCCACTGAACTCCCTTCATCTACCCTCTCTTTTGGAGAAGGGGCCTGGGATCCAGCAGGAAGACAATTATTTTAAACTAGGTATACTACATATTTCTAGCAAAAAAATCATTAATAATAGTTTTTCAATATCCAAATCAGAAGGGAGGAAAAATAAATATTGGCTTTAAATAAAGGTATAATTGTAAAAATAAAGTTGAATAGTTGATATGGCAATGTAAGGTCAGCATCGAAGTGAAAAAATGATATTATATATGAGACAGTTGGCGAAAACAAAACTAGCCAAGAACCGTTTACCGTTTTATAGTAAGTATAAGATGTTATTACAAAATTAATACGTTTAATTATACATAGTGTTCTTAACATAGAACTTTACAAACGTTTGAATGCGTATCAAGCCTTTCATTTGTTCGCAATTAATAGACCTTGTTAAAAACCAGGATTAGTCATCAAACATACACTAATATCACAATAAAAATGTGCCACTATTTTAGAATTACAGATAAGTTAGACAAAACATTCATTTGTGAAAAATTCCTCTTCTTACATTATTGAACAAACCAGAAAAATAAATCAACCGTTGAAGAAAAAAATAGAAGTATTCGGAGAGCGGAAAATGGCGTTACATTTTAGTAACGTATAGAATACTTGTACTTCAAAAATTGTAAGAAAACTAAAATTTTTAAACTAGCATTATCTTTATATCCATTTCAAAAATAAATGTTTATTTCTAATTAGAAAATAACAATTTACTCACATTTCTACAAAATTGACAGAAACGCACAGCACGAAATTTCACAGATTGATAAAAAAAACAATGGTGACAACATGACAAAACAAAAAGCAAACCCAAATTCTGAACAAAGAGTAATGTATATTACTAACTGACTAGGCATACTTTTTCTAGTTGCTCTGTGTTCAACGGAACTAGTGAGACGAAACAAAAAACAAGTTTCTCGAAATTCACTTTAGTACTGAAGGTGTCGTGACAGTAGTTAAATAATGCGTCGTAAGAATAGTTGCATAACGCAATTATATACATTAATAAATTTCAATATTTATGTACAAAAAATAATGCTTATATCAACTACTGCTAGTATTTAATTATAAAAACACCAAGTCAGTTTAGCGAAATTGACACACGATCAGTCTAAGTCTCTTAGAAGACTTAGAGAGAAAAATATAATAGCAATTGGCAAGATTAGTGTGTGGTGACTGATACATAGTGACATCTAACTCATCGCACTAACATCGCCACAACAATCGATAACGAGAAGACTAGCATCGTCACAGCCATCGATAGCAAGAATAATTGCAAAATGTTTCAAGAGCAAGTAACGAGATGGCGCTATACCTATACAAACATAATAAATTAATAACTACAAAACATTTAGAACAAAGAAACCTACATCGAACAGAATAAGTTTCATTACCAATTAACATAAATAGAACGTCCAACCTACATCGGTTGGACCGCGGTCACTGGGCTAACAACACCTAGCTCGGATAAAGATAATTATCCTTTAGTCTCCCTGGCCAGTTGTCTCCATCACCTCAGTAGGGACCACACATTCAACCATAACGGTTCCTAAAAGTGATTGATTAAAAATGGTTTACAGAATACCAAAACCGCGCGATAGCCGGTTGCCTACAGAACTCTGTGAGTAATTTAAGTTGCCAGAGTTACAGAATAGGCAGGTAATCTTAGCGTATCTTCGAGAATGCAGGTAATCTTAGCGTATCTTAATTCATTCACTATATCAATCTCCATCAATGATCTTTATGAGTGGCGTCAATGAAAGATAAAATGGATTAATAAAATTCACCGTTGAAAATGTATATTTTTGTTTGTTGCATTTTTGCAACTATCGTGTGTGATACAAGGTTTAACATCCGAACACACGTATAATCAAGTTTTATCCCTTTGTGATACTCTAAATTCCTTCATTGTGTGTAATTCTTATAATTATGTGGCAGCACTCCGATACGGCACGCTTCGACTATATTCCATTTATTATAACATTATAAAAAAGAGGATCACAGAAGCAGCAGTGCAAAACATTTTATTCTCAAGATAAATTTAAAAATATATAAATATAATAATTTTGTTGAAAATTTGAACATTATGCATTCTGAACGAGTTAGGCAATTTTCCATTTTCTCAGAGCCGAGATGAAGCAAGCATTTTCTAAATTCATTTTTACAGCCGACATCGAACTATATCTATCTGTTGTATTGCTAAATTCTAATTGTAACTGTGTATAATTAGAATAGAATTTAGTAATATCTATGCCTAGGAAAGAAGATAAACAAAATGAAATTTTTATTATTACTTATATAACATTTATTCAGTTATTATTAAACTATTGATTAAGACATTAGAAAAACTCAAAGGTAATTGTTGGAGGCCACCCGGGCCTGCACCGGAATCATCCATATTTAGCAGAAATTTGCAACAAAAACAAAACTGTGAGAAAAACAACAATAAAAAAATAACAACTCAATCACGGGAAACGACAAAACAACAAGAAACGCACTAGCATTCCATTCACAATGAATGGCATCCCAGATATTTGACTATTATGAATACGTCATAATATGACAAAATTAAAAAGCTATACTGCCCAAAGGTTTGAAGGGATCAGGCAACGTTTTAAATTTGGTAAAGCTATAGTGACATAAGAATCGTGCCGAAACTATCCTGCTTCAGTAGGTTCTTTAAGATGAACACTTTTTATTGTAATAGTTATTAAATCTTTTAAGTTAGTCAAATACTCATAAATTTGCTTAATAGAAAGTTTAAAAGACAACGGTTAAGCAGCTGGTATTTAAGTGTATTTATGAATATTAAAAAAATAATATTCATACGTTTATATTGTAAACATTTATTAGTTTTACTTACGCTACCTGCAATTCTACATTTTAATCTCTGTAAAATTTACTTGCTTAACATAACAGTAAAAATGTTTATTAATAAGTTATGCACTGCGAAATAAATATCATAAATTCTCAAGAAGCCTGAATACTTTCACGGTAGGTACAAAGTTATTTGGAAAATTAATAACGAGAACTAACTTATTTATGTTTTGGAAAAAATCTGAATGACCTACACATTAGTTTGAATAAATATTTATAAAGTAATAATTATGCTGACCATGACAAAATTGCTATTATATTTCTAGGATCCCAAAGGATAAAAGTCTAGGTGAAAAATGGAGGACAATAATACCAGACAATGTGACAAAATGATCCGCTGTATTCTAATCCAATTAATAGGAAAAAAAAAACATTTCTATCCTTTTAATTGATTTATACATTAAAGATGATTATGATAACATTTATGAACTTGTTTTATTTCTTACAAAATAAATATCTTTACCGATAAATAAAAACTAATTTATCGGTTGGATTTCTTATATCATCATTCATAATATCTGTAAAAATTTATAAAGTTCTATCTGTAAATGTTTAAATAAGGTCATGTAACATTATTAAATATTACCTATTTATGAAATTATTAAAAACGCGTGGACATCCTACAAAACTACTAAGACAGAGATGAAGAGTTACTAATTTACTTTATCACTCTACCCGTTTTTAATGAAACACTGCACAATCCAGTTTAATTTGACATTCGTGGTCTTAACTCTTTGTGTGGAGAACGTACGTAGTACCTTCTTCTTAGTATGTGAGGTGGTCTGTGGCAGTAAAAGTGTCAAAGAGTAATGTAATATAAATGTGTTCTGTGGTGTGAATCTATATAGTCTGTGGTGTGAATTGGTGTGAATGCATAGTATCTTCTTCTTGGTCTGTGTGTGAATGCGAAGGTGTGAAGGTGATGTGAAGTGAGCTTGTTGGTTTTCGATAACTTTCAGATTTAGAAATAGTTAAAAACAAGCTAGGTACGCTATAAAAAAATCATCTAATATAATGATGCATGCTCATAAATAACTGTTACATATACTCCAATTATTTGGACTGCAAGCAAAAATGTCTTATTTTGGTGTCGGAATTTATTTCTTGACTTTATTGTGGTATATAACATTATTATTGTGTTGGGTATCTGTGCGCACAGGTCATTATATAGGGAAAGTATCTGTGATCGTTTCTATTTTATTTACTATAATTATAATATTGCTGCCAAAAGGGGCGACATACCATTCAGTCGATGCGGTTGCCAACTTTTACGACCACTTGTTTGTATCTAGATTTTTGATTTTTTCGTTTTTGCTTGTTAGTGGAATAACTGGTTCCATCTATTGTTTCGTTCACGTATGCCTTGCGCCTATTGAAACTAAAAAAGTCAAGAGCTTTGGTAGTCTGAATTGAATTTATATTTGTTATGGGTAAGTATTTTGAATGATACATTTGTGTTCAAATTAGAGGTCAAAGTGTTATCAAACATAAGCATATTCTTCTTGTGTAATAAAAGATAAATGTTATTATTATTACTGTCATTATGTTATATTTTTCTTGTATTCTTTCTAGAATTTCATTTTCCATGATATTTCTATGTATGTTACCATTAAAAACTAACTACCATCAGCTGCTTGTCATGTACACACCGCAAGGTTTGATTTTGTGTTTTCTTTATATGTTAGTTAATAAACTGACACTCATTGCTAATGTTTCAAATCTTAACATATACACTTTGATGATCCCTAAAGTTCAGCTCAAATCCTGAGATAGATAGATAAAGGTATGTTAAAATTAACTCAAAGTTGATTTGATTATTCATGTTTAGAGATATTAAAAAAAGATATGAGACATGAAATGTTAGTATTAAGTTATAGTTACCCTCTGTATTGTGGTTTCTCTGAGTTCTATTTCATAATTTATTATTTGATGCTATCATAGTTCTTATACTTTTTGGTGATGAAACCTTTTTGTTAACCAAATATATACATAGAGTCCTAATAAAATAAAAGTTATATGTGTACTCTTTAGTGCCGCTCTTTGACAACACACTCATTTACGTCAGACACTTTTCTGTATTTTTTATAATAACTATGTGTTGGATGTTGTACTATATATAAATTGATTTTCTTTATAATATTCACTATCTTTATTCAGAAACCTTGAAATTTAGAACTTCATCACATTCATGGAAATATGCATCTATTTCCACAAACATGAAGTTCCTTTTATTTATTTTATTGTTGTTTTATTTATTAATATTTTTTTTTTGCAGTAAAATGTCTAATACATTATGTCAAAGTTTACGGTCACCAATCCGAAGTTTAGCAAAATTGCGACAAGCAAAAACCATCTCTACGTCAATAGTTCATAATGAAACCATATTAGTTAAGAATAATGAAGAATTTATTAATAAGGTATGTGATTCTATATTTATTGTGTTTAGTAAGTAATTCAGATATGGTTACAAAATTATATTTATTTTTTATTATTCATAGGTTATGAACAACAACAAAGCTGTTATAGTCAATTTTCATGCAGAATGGTGTGAACCATGCAAGATACTCACGCCCAAACTAAAAGAGTTAATTGAACCACTCAACAACTTGGATCTAGCTGTGGTTGATGTTGAAGACAATGCAGATTTAGTGCACACATTTGAGGTAAAAGTCACTTAAAAATCTTATCTTGATAGTCAAAGTTTAGATTTTCCTCTCAAAAATTAAAAAAAACATAAAACTGTTGTACTTGAAGCTCATTCAAGTACAACTGTTTTATGTCTTTAGAAAAAGATATTGTATAGTTAAAAGAGCTTACTATATCCTTTAAGAAAGCAATATAAGAAATGCTACTAATGTAATTCATCTCATTTATTTTTAGGTAAAAGCTGTACCCGCAGTAATAGCCATCAAGAACGGTTTAATAGTGGACAAATTCATTGGTTTAGTGGATGCAGACATGATTACTAGTCTTATAGACCGAATGTCTGGTAAAAATAATGCGGGAGCATAAGCCATTAATGACTTGTAAATAATAGAATTTATTTAAAAAGGTGGAATTATTGTATGTGATGCGTCATTAGGAATAACTCACTTTAAACTTAGATTAGAAGCTGATAGAAAAGCGTGCGACGCGTACACAAGACAACGTATTTGACAACACCTATATGAGATTACGGTTAAAGAAATAAGTCAGAGGTAATATAATATAAAATTCTAGACACTTAAAGAGTTATGTACTGCGAAAAATATTCTGTATCCGGATTAAAATCCGTAGGTCCGTTGCATCACGTCGCCGCGTTAATTATTTGCATACTTTTAAACCCCAATCACAGCAGAGAAAAATGTGCTGGAATTTACATTCAATATTTCACCTTAATAATATAAAAGATTTCTATTATAGATTGTTATTTACAAACTTATTTATAATTATTATTCGAGATTTATCATGTGAGTAATAACATTTGAAAAGAAGTAGCTGAAACTCGTTAATTGTTTGGAGCTAGATTGTTTGCTATTGTACTAAAACTGATAAAAGAATATGACATGACAAATAATTTATTTAAGTAATCTTAGAAAGACTACTTATTTTCGAGACTATGACGTCATTGTTAGATACTGTTACGATATGAATGTTTAAACAAGTATTAGAATGCAATTTGTAATTGTTAAGTGAAGATAAACTACAATAATCATAAAAGTATTCTTTATGTGACAAAAGTACTTTAGATAATGCAAAATGTAATTTTGTAATTAAGTAAAGTGATAACTATAAAAATAATATCACTTGAGACTTATAAGAAGTGTCTATATCTCTTATGACCTTACTTCTACTTTTTTGCAATTGTAATTTTTCTCACAGTTCTGTTTGCCTTATTTGAAGGGTTGTATTGTTGCTATTGAATCAGTTATACTATATTAGCGATCTTCAAACCATCATTAGTAATCTTGAATATAAGTAATAAATGGTAAATGCATATATGTAAGACTGCTTTCTCATATATAGGCGTTTCAGTTGCGCTATTGCAATGCTTCTAACACTTACATCTATAATCGAGACAAGTAATTACTTAGAAAAATATCATGGCATAACTTAAGCAAATATTTTTACCCATTAGACGAGAATTTAACGCGAATAATCCTAGTATTCCAACTTATGAGAGTTTACTTCTTTATGCAATTCACACGGCCCCATGTACTCTGAGATGGGACTCGAACCCACAACCTTACCTCTTAGCTACCCAGGACCCAACAGTACTGACGAATTTGTCGAGCACTATTATATTTATCAATGAACAGTCAATTCAGCCAAGCAGCCAAAAGAAATATTTTCACAAATATTTTAAAATATTTGATCAATTTTTCGTTCACAATGTTATACAGGAAAATTATGTTAATTCAAAAATATGTGATGATGTAGTTAATGACATTTTCTCAAGTAATTACTTTCAACTACAGATACGAGTATTACAACCGGTTTCTGAATTAAACCATCTTAAACAAGTTTTTTTAATGATCAGTTGATAGCAGTTTGATAAAACCGGGACTTTTTGCCTTGTGATACCTAAAAAACTTAAGTTACTGATTTTAACAATCAGTTGAGATTTTCTACTTATCTCAATTCAGAAACCGGACGTTAGTCGCCCGGCTAGTATCGTATGACAGTTCTGCGTTTGGCGTATTGTAGTCACACGAATAAAACGTAATTATGTGGAAGCAATGGCTCATATTGCCCCACTTCTTTACGGATTTGAAAATCATGTGTTCTCTTTAAATAGGTTTTTGGCAATAAAATATTTTTATCTTTATTTCTTAATATGTATAAAAATATGATAATTCAGACGTTAGAGTGCAACGCTCGGTGCAAGTCTGATTAAAAGTCCGTCGAGTGGCCCACGAAAGTATGAGTTGGTACGCGACAGATTATCCGTCAATGGTCAATGACATATATATTTGTCAGTCCAGACGTTCCGCGATAGAGACGCATCTTTGATCATATTTGCAGCGACATTAATTTCTTTTGTTTGCTATCAAATTATCAATAAACTTTAGACTACATCGCATATATTTCTTAGATCCCAAATTAAGTAGCTAAAGCAATAAATTATATTATAGGTTCTGTTACATAAAACTAAGGGCCAGAAATCGACTTGGTATGCTTGCATGATATGTCTAAACGATAAACTATTTATATAATCTTTTAATGAAGGTTACTTGCGAAGTAGTTGGTGCTAAGTAGCGATCTACTAGAAGTTAAATCGAAACATATCTTTGATCTGTGCACGAAAATTGCACCTTAAAAATACGTATAAATTGGATGCAGTTTACAAAAACAGAAATATCGAGTTACAAAAAATATTATTGTCCACAATATACGTGTTACCAAATATTGTATAAGGTTCAACTTGAAACTATTTTAAACTCTAAATATTTCCAACAATACCTTTATATTCTCTTAAATTATTTCGTTTTGTCCAAAGTGACACTAAAAGATCAGAGAAGTCGAATTATAAATAGTAAATTCATCTATTAGAATGTGAACTGTATTCATTTATGCGCTTGAGCCTTATTATATAAATGCCTTTATAAATGTATTTTATTTTGTTATACTGTGCTATACTTATTTGTTTACTATATACTACCAAATATAACTAATTATGTAGTCATTGGTATATTCGGCTTAATTTAGAGAACTTTGCAATGCAGAGTTGTAGGATTTAATAAGCCTGTGTTCTTTAATTTTGTGGTCATACTATTGTCTATATTAATAGGAGCTATTATTTTTTTATATGAATGTTATTGAAACCCTTTGTTTTTATAATATTACATTAGCAAAATATTACATTCTCGAATTATTATATTCTCAAAATATTACATAAAGAACAATCGCAGCGAAAATTGTTTCTAATATGTGGGAAAAAAATATACATTTTTGACAACATCACATACATTGATCTGATACCGTAGTATGTAGCTTATGCGTTTATAAAAAAAAAATCAAAACCAAAAAAAAAAATGAAATTATATTTACATAAAATCTATATTTTTTTATTCTAATTATATTTAATATATTTATATAAAATTTATATTTACAAATATTCATCACATAAATATTTGTGCCGGGTGGGAATCGAACACACGACCTCTTTTTAAGGAAATGTATCGTTCTATTTTAGCTGGAATTGTATCGTATGTCACTTAGTAGAATAGAAAAACCATTAAAAACTGTAGTTTCGTTCGGTTTCGATTCGATTTAAACAAAATTTATTTAATAGAATTGGCCCCCTGGTACCACTTGTACTCACCCGGGATTTGTTTAGTTTCAGTTATTATTACCCAACTTATTTTGATTAATGCAAATAATCTGGCCATACTGTATGATACTGCAATACATTTTTTCATTTTAATATTGTATGACGTTCGGACTTCAAATGTTTTGATAATATAATAATTTGCCAATGTAATTTATTATGAGAATAAAGGGTTGAAACTTTTCGTATTATCCTAATATTATACTAAGTTGTTACATCACAGTTATTATACTTTGCAAATAGGTGCTTGCTAATCCATCCGTTTTAAAACCCCATGCGTAAAGTACATATAAGTATACGGAATAATAGATTGCTGTGCGATGATATATGTATAAAAAAAATCTTGTTATAAATTTATAGGCATTTAAAAGTAGGAAAGTCTAATTTTTATCTCTTAGACCAGGGTTTCTCAAATATTTGACTCCATGAACCCCATGAAAATTACATGTGCCGAAAGAAATATCTCTTTAATATTTTGGGATGAGTGGGTTTGTTTTCTGTCGCAAATCAAGTCAAATGTTGAACCCCCAAGATTGCGTACCTCACTTTGGGAAACCCTGCTTTAGACGTACAAATATCATTAAGTAATGCCGAATCATTGTCATTGCATAATATTATGAGCTCAAAAAAGTATTATTCTTCACATAAATAAAGACCAGCGTTAGATTTATAGTAGCGAGCTTACTTTGAATTAGAAATACGTCCAATTTACGACCATAATTGGGTCCATTTTACATTTTTAATGTGTGCATTAGATAAAGAGCTCTTTAGTAAGTACATAGTATTTGTGTACCCTACTCATTTGTTGTAATTCAATACTACACTATGAATTAGTTAAGTAAACATCTATTCATAATATTCGATTGTCGGTGTACATTGATAATGGCATTATAAATGTATGTGTAAACAAATCTTTATGACTTGTGTAAAGACAAATTAAATATTTTCTGGAAAGTTCAGTGTTTTTTTTCTGTGAGAAAACTCATTAAATGAAACAACCACAAGTTTCCAAGTACCATTTTAATTCAGGATATTATTTTGATAGGTATTCATAATATTATAACATAATTCAACAGTTATATTGGCGGTTTTTCACTTTATTCGTAACAGAAAATTATTTTTGCTACATATATTGAAAATGGATATTTCCTATCTTCAATCTTATATTTTAGCATATTTACGGGTTACAATTAAATTTATTATTCAACATTGCATATGCAGAAAAGGTATGTTTTCTGCAAATGCATACGCAATGCAATGTTGTTGTTAGTTATATGGACGGATTGTGCTTGCAAAATTTTTTATATTGCTGCAAATATTTTAAGAAAATTTCAATCCGATGTGTTTTATTCCAATCAAAATAAGGAGCATATTTGCTTTATATACGATATAAACTGAAAAAACCGCCTTTTAAGTGGTGTATAAGTACACTGAGATGTCCTTTTATTTTTAAATAATTTAATTCAGAGCGCAATAATGTACCTTAACAATAATCTATATAATATCGGTTTATATACGCTCACGATTATAAAAAATCAGTCTAAAATATATTAAGGCAACTTGAGAATATATACTCATTCTTGTGGCCCTTTCGCATTTGCTACATAAATGGTTAGTGATCTTTATAATTACTGAACAACTAGTTTTTAATATATTAAACTTGAAACACAAACTGGCTGTTATAACATACGTGGTTCAAAAAAATGCCTTTGCATACAGGTGGGTATATTAAAAAAAAACATGGTACCGATATTCGATAAACAATGTCTATAAATAACAAACAAAATCTTGTGTATTCTAGTTGCAAATGCGAGAGGGTAATAGTAAGACATGCAAGTGTCGTAATTATAATGCATAATCAACTACTGGTTTTAATAGGAATATATTCTTCACCGATACATTTTAGCATTATATTGACAAACAAAAACTAGGTTAACCATAAAGTAAAGGAGAAGACAAGATAACAATAGAAATATGTTAACACTACAGTTACTTCCAAATAATGTGGAGCATAAGTCATCGTTTGCGCAGATCAGCAGGCCTATTACTGAATCTCCGTTAAAGGCGAGCAATTTCAATTGTCAAAATCACATTCGTGTTTTATATCAATGGTTCGCAATTTTTGGAATATCGTACTGTAGCCTTATTTTTAATAATAATAAGTAGCAAGTAATAGTGCCATATGTTACTATTATAATCAGGTAGAAACGTAACGACTATTTATCTATTCTTCATTAGAGCTAGAAAAGAATCTTATTATAAAACTGAGATATTAAACAAAAAAGAAAACACTATTAAAACCAGAGTAGATTAACTACAAAATAGAACGTTAATGCAATCAATAATTTTAATAATGCTATTATCAACATTTTGGGGAAGATCAAATTCAAGTCTGACGAAAAACGTTGATAAGAATATAAGCACACTCGAGGAGACTTATTAACACAATTAAACATATTTGCATTCATTTAAAAAAGTATACAAAAGAAACTAATTAAAATTTTAATAATTAACTCCTAAATAGTTTTATCCCCAAATTTCAATCATGCCATTTATAAACATTTTTTTAAAATTACATTTTTCAAAATCTTTAAATGCTTACGATTTAAAGGAAAGATAAAGAGTTGTGCTTATATCTTGTTTTATGCAGTAGTTGCGCGATCTAATGATAAATATAATATTTGATAATTCATAATCCCCTTAAATTTGCTAAACTCAACTTGCTAAAATTTGTCAATACTCCCAATCATAAACAATACATATAAAATGCATTACAAGTATACATAGACAACAAACAACAGTTCTATCAATAAATAAAGTAACCAACAGAGTATATACACTCTTAATTAGTATGTCGTAGCGTATCAATTTGTTTGTAGCCAACATGTATAATATATTTGAATGTATACACCCTGCATACATAATATACAATATAGAAAACGCACATTGATTCATTTGGTGTCGAAGAAAGACTATTAAATATTTTTTGGAGCAAGTTTTACTTAATTTAGAAAAAAATAACAAACATTAAAAATGAATCTACTTAGTCATAAGAAAAGTATAAGACAGTTTATGATATATCAAGGAGATAAATATACAAATGTTTACATAGTAAATGTACATTATATACAATTGTATTTACAATGAACCAACTTGTTTATAGTAATACTAACACACAACAAAGCATTTTTTTTCTCTTATATATACAGCAAGGGTACGCCAATGCGTGAGCTAAACAGTATTTTTAGTTTTGGTAATAAGAAGGCTATCTAATATTATACTAAAAACTTTTAGTACATGTATACACTGTACTCATGTGATCACATTCATTTTCCTTTCATTATTCTAAGTTTAATTCTTAATCTATTGTACCAGAGTATGACTGTTCGTAATAATTACGATCACGTAGTCAATTAATCCTGATTATTTTGTGACGTTTCATATGATCGAATTTTGACTGAACATATAATTATACATTTTATTATTGGTAATATTTTTGAATGCAGATACCTGATAAAAAATAAATAGATATTTTTTTCTTTTATGCATCAACGAACAATCGGACAAACAAAATATTGATCTGTGTATAATGTCATGTGCAACTAAGAGAGGAATTTCATAGAAAAATAAAAAAAAATAACTTACAAAATTAACCTACTTAATTTCGATCTGAATAAAGTTTAAATTCGATCGTCTAGTGATCAAAATATTTAACTACACCTTTTAAATTCGATACGTACACGTAAAATCCGACCGTGTTAAGTAGTGTCAAGGTTCAGACTTCGTCGCCGAGGTCTTGTACGCAGTTCTCGGCGATAGGAACAAATTTATCGTCTATCTCTATGAGAAGGATACTCTTATCGACGTGAGATCGAAGCTTGGGGTCCCTGTGGTTCGGTGTCCACTTATGGACCACCTATAGATAGAGAAATATAAAATTACCAATTAAGCTTTCAATAAAATCAAGCACAAACACGAGGATAATCTTGGTAATTTGGAACTCAAATGTTTCAAATTCAAATTATTTATTTTAATACTGGCACAGGACACGGTACATATCGACACTGGAAAGCAAACACGTAGTAACCTGCAAAACCAAAATGGATACTTAGAATGGGAAATCTTTATATTTTTTCCAAAAAAATATATCTAATTTCCGTATAAATTGACTAAGGAACACCTTATTTGTTATCATGGACGCTTATAGGAATTATTTATCGAAAAAATTAAAGCTTTTCTGCTCTGAAGAACAATTTTGGTTTTGCGGATTACTACGTGTTTGCTTTCCAGCGTCGATATAATTAACAGTAAAACAAGGATAATACAAGGTTGAGTGTCTCATGACTGCATCATCATCAGCCCTTTTACGTCCCCACTGCTTGGGTTCAGGCCTTCCTTATGGATGGTTTTCGAGGATGGGCCGTAACCCTCCACGCTGGCTCAATGCAAATTGCGGGTAATACCGATTGCAAAATGCAGCCGGAACCAATAGCTTTACATGCCTTCCAAAGCGAAGAGTAGCTCGAGAAATAAAAATATTTTTTTGACCACCCATCCCGTGACCGACCCTCGCGAAAGTTGCTTAACAACATCGATCGCGGGCCATGGCGCTTTTCCAATACGCCACCGAGATGACATTTTGCGGCACCTATCATCTTCGCCTATACAAACCCTTTTCACTATTATTGATTAATCTTCATTATATAATATCCAACATTAATATATTTAAAAAATACTACATAAAATTGGTAAGCAGCCCTCGCTGATTTTCTTGCCAGTTCTTCTAGGTTTCGACTTTCACAAGTGCTTATAACAAGCCTAGACTGAATAAATCATTTTAATTTGATTCGATTTAAACTCAATCGGTGAAGGTTCAAAATTCTTTTTAAGCTTTGTCCTACACTAAAATATTAAGTAAAAAAAAAACTTGTAATTTGACCAAAATATTATCTTACCAATCCATCCATACCGGCGAGCGGTACCCAACTTCCCCAGAAATTTCTACCTCCTCTCTCCCTTTGATATTCCGACGGCCATTGCACATCAATTCTCCTCCCCAAATTGATGCAATCGTAAACTCCTAGAGGTTCAGTTATTAGAACTTTACTGCCGACACTAACGTTCATTTTCAATTCACTTTTGCCCGAATCAGAGCGTTTAATTTTAGTCTTTATCTCTTTCACTTTAGGATCCTTTTTAGTTTCCTTTTTCAGTACAGATTCTTTGTGCGATAGATCCGAATAATGACTTTCTTTCAATTGTATCGATTCTGGTTTCTCTATATACCGACCAGTGAGTTCACGGTAACTTTCCCGTTCGTGACGTATATCTTTACTCGGTTTAGACAGATCTTTAGATGTGCCTTCGTTTATGAAATATCTGTTATACAGAAAACATTATTATAACATTATACCTTAATCGTAAAGTGTGTTCCACACGGTTGTCAATCAAATCGATGGTTTTTAACTGTCGTCTAGATGGTTGGTTGGCTGGACGATTAATAAGTTAGGTCACTCTCAATCAGGGTTCGCTGATAAATATCAACGGATATATATAATCATATATATCGATTGATACATGATGATATATATCAATTGATATTTATATTAATTGTTAGTTTCAGTTATTGAGTCTTAGCTAAAAAATTAACTAACCCTATGTAACGCTGGCAATATTGACCCGAAGAAGCAATCATACTTACAATAAAGTTCGGGTTTTTTACCGTAATATGAACGTGAAGTGCGAATGGTTAGTCTTTTTATTTTTTCATGTGCGTGATTATAAAATTTTTTACGAACCCTGCTCTCAATTAAACTATACAACCGTGTGGATCATACTGAAGTTTTTCTTATTGCTAAACTACAGAAGTACAAAATATATATTTATAGGAAGAATTTGAGTGAGAAATTTTAGATATAGAAAAATTACAAAAATTAGGTTTTTAGAAAGAGATAGAAAAATTACAAAAATTGGGTTTTTTTTTAAATATGACACAAAGTAAAACTAATGCGTACATGCAAATTGCACATAATCGAAAAATAAAGAAAGAGTATATATTTCAGTAGTATTTTACTAACGATAATTGTAGAAAATGTTACACAAAAATAAGGCATGCATTAAATAAGATTATTAAAGTATTAGATAAATACTCAATTCTGTTTTACATTTTACAAAAGATAGAACAATGAAAATAAGAAGCACATATTTGATGATTTCAAAGTTTACAATTAAAAAGGCATTCTCTAAACATTTATTTGAGGATGCCACTATTGTTCCTTCAATATATGAAATCTAAGATAATGAAAAAAAAAAAAAAAATAGAAAACGAAACTTTCTGTCTCATAAAACGAAAACTAAACTTATTTTATGGTTTAACTCATTAGCCGCCTTAAGTAAATTGACAATTTGGTCGGATAATAATTATAAACTCGTTTGAAAATAATTGGTTTAAACCCGTTTAATAATAGAATGGTTAAAGTTTAGTTTTAACACATACTACACTTTATCTACCAAATTGTCGTATTTAAATATGTAGTTAAAAGAATGCCTTAAATATATTCAGTAACTCACTCTGGTAATTTAAAGTGACATATTAATTGTACGAGATATTATGATTCATGTTATAGATTGTGTTAGTGCGTACAAGTGCAGTGAGTTCTACCTTTTAAAGTCTCTCTCTTGCCTGGCGTTCCTGTTGGCGATGATCTTGCAGTCTGGAAGTGACAGATCTAAACCACTGGGCGTCAATGTCAGGTCTTCTAATGACGATTCGGCGCTAGGAGCCCGCCCACTCGATACCTAAATGATAAATAAATAAATAAAAAAAAATAATTTACGGGGAAACTATTACTTTAATAGGGTATTTTATTCTGTTTGAAGTAATACGTATAACTGCTTATATTTTAATTATAAAGTAATAAAAAAATAAGGAAGTATAAACACGCTTTCTTGCCTTAAAATTGAATCAAAATTTCAACTTTTATATACTCCGGAAAATACTCTCCGCCTTATTCTTGACGTCATTCTGATGGAAAACAGATGCATAGAGTAGAAGATTGAAAGATTTACATTTTATTTGACTTTATACACTAAATTGTTCAGACTGATTTTAACACAATTGAAGGAAATTAAAAAGTAGAATACAAATTGCATAATTTAACCTTGACATATGTCATCCGCATCAAAATCAAATACTGAGTTGTCATAGGTAAATAATTAAAAGTATTTAACTTTGTAATTAATTATAGCTCGGTGGCGTAGTGGATAAGCGCCGCGTCCCGCGATCGTTGTTGTTAAGCAACTTTCGCAATGATCGGTCACGGTATGGGTGACAAAAAAATATTATCTTGAGCTACTCCGTGCTTCGAAAGGCACGTTAAACCATTGGTCGCGGATGCAGCTGTAAATAAATACCCTAGAATTGGGCCAGCGTGAAGGCTCTTGGCCCATCCTCCTTAACCATCCATAAGGAAGGCCTGAGCCCCTGCAGTGGGGACATAAAAGGGCTGATAATGATAATGAATCACAAAGTTCAAATGTGTATATATTCCAAGAAATTAATGTATTAGCATCTTTATATCCTTACGATAAAGTTTATAAGTCAGACAAGAGCACGCTATCGATCAGGCAGCATATAGAGAAATATATGTATTCAGTCGCCTCGCATATTGGAATGTTCTAACGACGCATGCAACTTACGTTCACGCATAAACCAGTTTATCATCATCATCATCACATCACCAGCCCTTTTACGTCCCCACTGCAGGGGCTCAGGCCTTCCTTATGGATGGTTAAGGAGGATGGGCCATGACCCTCCACGCTGGCCCAATGCGGATTGGAGGGTATTAACGACTGAAAATGCAGCCGGGACCAACGGCTTAACGTGCCTTCCGAAGCACGGAGTAGCTCGAGATAATAAAAGTTGCTTAACGACAACGATCGCGGGCCGCGGCGCTTATCCGCTACGCCACCGAGCTACTTAACCAGTTTATCAGTAGACCATAAACTAGTTTATCAGTAGACCATAAACTAGTTTATCTGTAGACCATAAACTAGTTTATCTATATACTATAAACTAGTTTCACAGCAGATATCCAATAAGCATTCTAAAAAGACGTTCATTCAACGCCCACATCCAACTTGTAGTTAATATTGGTGTAAATAATTATGAGGATAAATATTTATTCATTCGTCTTATCGTTAGTAAAATTATATTAAAGCAAAACTGACCTTAGCACTCGCCGCCCGCCGCGGTTGATCACGCCATGCACTTTCCCATCCACTGCCGCTTCCCTATAATTATTGCTTCATAATTTAGGACAGAAATCTAATTGTCGCTATTATGCAATGTATGCGTGGTCAACTTCAGACTTAGCAATGTCATTGCGAGTGGTTCATTTACATTGGTCGACAATAGGATAATAAATTAAAATGTGTGTCGTTAAAAACTTCATGAAATGTAAAGATTATTCGTGATGAATATTTTTGGTAATTAATAATTATTTATATTTTTATATCGAAAAATCAAAATATAATATTGTACGAGCAAGCACGTACATAATAAATCTTTAAATCGACAGGGCGATTCTGTAAAAATCCAAATTCACTCATGTGTTCGAATTCACGTTATTAAGTGAAGAAATTCTATCGATTTTTTGTATTTTTTAACACCTTTGCTCGTAAAGCTGATGTAATTCCACCGGTTTTAAATATGTAAAGCGGGACATAAAAAACGCGTGTGTTACCAAAGCAAATAGTTAAGTTATAGTCCATACAAATTCCATAACAGTATTATTTGCCATTTCGCGCGCTGTTGCTATTCAAATATCGAACTAATCGCCGCGCGGCGCCAGTCAGTAGGCAGCGCTAGCGCGCTGTTAAAATGTCGGGAAAGCAACAGTGTACATTCACAGATTGAGTTTATTTAATGTTTTTTTTTTCTGATTCCTCGCAAATGTGTTAAAAAACGTCGTACGATATACGTGCGTATTGATTATAACATGCTCGGCTCAATTACGCTCAATCAATTACTGAAATTCCGCCTCGCATGTTATAACCATCATAACGCACTAATATCGTAATGTACTATTATACATTTTTTGGATTTTTACAGAATCGCAGGACATTTCGTGTTGTAATATCAAGACTATAGCGCGTACTCATTAACAGACTCCAATATCGAAAAGGAAGAGGTTATATGTTCGACGGCGACGCATGTTTTTTTTATTATTTACCGACTTTATCCGTGAACTTATCGGTTTTCCAAATTCTTTTTTTATTCGACAGCGTTGTTAATGTGTGTTGCTGCAGGCATTTTGTATTGTTAGAAAGAAAAAAAGCGACTACTACTGGCAGCGCTAATTATCGATTTCACTACAAGCATCCCTATCTCTCAGTAAGCTGTCACTGTGACTGATGTTTGATCAGTTACGCGCCAATGTACTTCCAGGTTGTCATTTTTGTAAAACTATTGGAGTCGACACTTGGTGATTTTAAATATATCAAATGAATTGTAAAATGTGTCTTTCAGTTTAGAGATTGTATTCTGTTATATTCTATGACCAATGGTACGATTAAAACCTCTAATGAGTCTAACATAAGACGTAATAAACAATGAAATAGGCGTCTGCATCACTGGCTTCCAGCGAATAATGGCTGGCTACTTGAATCAATCTTTATGGCCGAAATTTACCGCGCCTCAAAAAGTATTCTGCGCAGTTAAACGCGATAGGCAAGTGATAATAGACCAAACAATTTTCAGCGAAAAGTTAGGAACCCCACATTACCTTCTCAATGTTTATTTTAGAAAAGTTTTCAATTGAATTTATGATTTACTAGATGTCCGGCAGAACTTGTTCTTCCCTATTTCTCTAAAACAATAACCAAAGATAACCCACGCTTCTTTGTTTTGCTTTGATTGACGTCATATGTTTGACAGCTAGGGGCAGAACGATTTTAACAGGAAAAGAAAATTGATTTTTTTTACGCTTTTCCTCATATTTCTTTTTAGTTTTTTCTCCATAACAACCTTCTTTAGACTTCATTAAACACAACAAAATATAAATCAGCCGAATCAGTTTAGCCGTTCTCGACTTTTGCTCGTAGCAACACATTTAGCATTACATTTTTGTTTATATAGAAGATTACCTGAGCGTCAAGGCATCCACTGGCGTGCGCGCGGGCAGCGGTGGGATCGCGCGCGTTGTCAGCGGCGAGTAATCTGAACGACGCCGGTGTCGCCCTCTCGCGTCTCAATCTACGGTTACTAGCCTGTACACAATCGATAGTGGGATTAGAGGATTTTTCAATTAAGGCTGGTTTACACGTTATTAAGTAGTAATTAGATTTAACTTAATTCAAAGTAATTAACGGCCGGTTTCAGAAATGAGAAAAGTACCAAAATCTCAACCGATTATCCTCAATAACTTAAGTTTTTTATGATTCACATGGCAAAAACTCCTAGTTTTATAAAACTGCTATCAACTGATCTTAAAACAAAAAAAAAAAACAAAAATCAGAAATTCACACCTGTTTAAGTAATGTTTCAATACAGTTTGAAATGTGCTTAACTTTAAATACTTAATTCAAAAACCGGCTGCAATTTCGTGTAAGCATATAAGTATTAAGGAGCAGGTAAAATTTAATTCTAATTAAGCTCATAAGTTGTTAATTTGCTAATTATTATTATTTCTATGCTTATTTATTTACTGAGCTTTATTGACCTTTGGGATAAACGACAAACACAACGGCCATATAATAGAATATAATGAAATTAACAAAATTAAAACTTATGCCTAATATTCGGTACGAACATACTATTCGTTGCAAGTCTAGTAATTTTATTTTTTGCCAACCCTAGCGCTCTGTTCAGCTGTAGATATACATTTTGAGAACAAGCCTAAGGGGTTAGTGTACTATTTATTTTATGTATGTTATGTTGAGTAGCTCGGTGGCGTAGTGGATAAGCGCCGCGGCCCGCGATGGTTGTCGTTAAGCAACTTTCGCAAGGGTCGATCACGGGATGGGTGACCAAAAAATTATTATCTCAAGCTACTCCGTGCTTTGGAAGGCACGTTAAGCCGTTGGTCCCGGCTGCGTTTGCAGTCGTTAATATCCTCCAATCCGCATTGGGCCAGCGTGGAGGGTCATGGCCCATCCTCCTTAACCATCCATAAGGAAGGCCTGAGTCCCTGCAGTGGGGACGTAAAAGGGCTGATGATGATGATGATGTTATGTTACAACCGACCTGTCTAGCGGGCTCCTTGGCGGCGGATCGCGCGCGCATATTACGCTCGCGACGCGCTCCTGGTGCGGAACTAGCGCGCTCTTCGCTGCGGCGCCGCGGAGAGCTGTTGTCTTGTGTACTGCCATACGCTAAATAAAGATGCGGGTATTTATAATAAATCTTCTTAGAGTGCCAAGGACAAAGCGGACGTTTTAAACGTTTTTTTATTAAGAATATTTTTCAATGTAAACGCAAACTTTATCAAATATAATAATAGGGATGATGACTAATTTTTGTTTATTTGTCCGTCAGGTAGAATGTTAAAAAATAACATTTATAATCATAAAATTACGGCGTTACATGGAGTTGAAATTTCGCATGACGTCACGTTAGGGTACGTTTCAACTGTGACGTAGCGAGCCCCCACTCCTCAACTTAAATGCCTGTTATCTAAGTTAAATTGAAGTAAAAAAAAGTATCTATTATTTTTCTATTTTCTGACTGACGGAATAAATAGAATTGTATTTCTTTTACCCAGTTGTCATCCCTGTTGGAACAGATATTTATATTTATCTAAAAGTTAAAAAAAAAAAAAATATTTTTCCGGCTGTTGCGGGTTTATTGCCTGAACATTTATGAAAATACGCTCTGTAGTAGCGGAAAAGTAACAAGTGTTTGAAAAATTGGTCAGTCCGGTTAGATCCTGGATAGCATTAGAACAGTTTCCCGGACTGCGAAGGGTCGTGGTTTCGAATGCCATCTCAGAGTGCCAGGGACAAAGTAGATTTTTTAGGTATTTTTCATAAAGAATATGCTGATATTTTATTTTTTACTAGCTGACCCGACAAACGTTGTCTTGTCTTAATTCGAATAGTTTAGCTAGTTATTATATAAATTAATGATTACTTACCCGCTTCCTCTAATGTTCTCTCATGCGAGTGTTCCCGAAGCAAGCCTGCTAGCGATGCTAATGTCGAGGACGTCGGCTTCCCAGCACTTGCTAAACTACCACGTGTGCCCGCTGAAAAATATTATATATTTATTTATTTATCGCCAATGTGATAAATATTATTTAAAAAAAGTAACATTATGCGGCAAATCAATTATTTGATTTTAAGGCATATAAGAACATGGTTCGTGATTATTAAGAGAATTATATTTTTTTATAATTTACATGATAATTATCCATAGCTACGTGCAACTATTTTTATAAATACAAAATGGCATTCATAATTGAGTATACATTTATTTTTGTCGATTTAAATTATACAAATAAACAAAAAAAAAAAAAACTGTGAAATCAAATTAACAAAAAGTGACAAAAATATAAATAGTTTTTTTTTTTTGTTTGTCCATCCTATACAATTTCTTCTATAAGAAAAACAATATTTGATCTTTGTTTTTTAAAGATGATTTTTGTTTAATAAAATGTCCTAAAGTACAAAACTAATAATTATCTTGATTACTTGCCTGTAACAGAACAATATACAAACAGAATAGGCGTGTAGATTACTTTTTATATTTTTATTTTAAAGATATACATGAAATATATTTAAAAATATTTTTTAATAAAGTAACATTTGTTTAATAAATTTAAGATCTAAAAATACATGTAACTTTCGAAATTTCCCACGAAAACGCTAAATCCTGTCATGGCGTCACTATGACGTCATAGCCCTTTGAAACTTATATCGTTCTATTATGCATAAGGTTTAATTCTCTAAGTTCTGATAAGATTAAGAGAGGCGTAACGTCACGCGCTGTTTGCGCTTACGTCACGAGCATAAAATATTATTTTTTTCATAATTAGTTTAAGCAACATTATAAATATAATAAGCATAAAAATGTGATTATCGGTAATAGTATATCAAACACCAGCAGAAAATGTATTTTATTTTCGTTTTACCGTATTATCAATGATAGTCATCGCTTGGAATCCTGCATAAAAATACTCTGTATATATTTAAATAGTTTTTTAATCTTAACTAATCATCTATAATGGGTCATCCATAAATTACGTCACACGATTTTCATGATTTTTTTGCCCTTTCCCCCGTCCTAGTCACAGCTGGTCACATTTCTAAGTCTCCCGCCTCCTAGTGTGATGTTACATATTTTGCAAGATCTATGTTGACCTTTGCAAGGTTTTTGTAAAGTTATAATTTAAAGTTCGTGTTTTAACACTTATATTATAATAGATTTTGAAATGTGACGTCACGAAATTTAAGACCCTCCCACCCCCTTGTCACACAATGTCACACTTCGTCGACCCCCTCCCTCCCCCCTTAACGTGTGACGTAATTTATGGATGGCCCCTAATATAGCATCTCATTCTATTAATTGAAAATTAATAAGCTAAAAGATCCGCAAGAAAAGTAACGGAATATAAGGATCTTTCTTCTCCCTCTCTTCTACATACCAAGCGATGTGCGCGACAGATGTAGCGCGCTGTGTCTGGGTGTTTGTGTGACGCGCGCCGCCCCCGCCTCGGCCGCCCCCGCCTCACACGCACCGCCCCCGCCCCCGCCACTAGAGCATCCCTCCCCGCAACGACGACGGATACTAAACATAATATGAGAAATAAATAAACATATTATAATTATAACAAACAAGTAGCCAGTGAGAAAACCAGTGAGATTTGGTTTATTTATTAGGCCCTCACGACACTCTTTTGCTTATTTTTCTTGTCAGCCAAAGGACATCCTGGACCTTAATTCCGCTTTTTTTTGTAATAATCGTATCTAAATAGAATGTCAACTACTTGTATTTTGCCATTGTATGTACATACATCTACATGAAGTCCAATATTATTGTGTCTATAAGTGTATATAAGTGCAATGTCTTCCTCACAAATCAATGGTGAAAGATATATAATAATATTGCACTTCAGATATATAGTATAATGGAAAAATGCAAGTGGCTGTGATCTTATTATTACGTAAATATTCCCATCAGTTATAGAAAGGGGCACCACTTTCATCGAAAATAAATATTGGTTGCTTTCAAATATAGATGTCCTAGCCAAGCCACAGTAGCACCCCTACATCATTATCATAAGATAGCAAGCCAAAGTCGATAAAACAGATTTTGTTCAGTAAGTAAAATTTGGAAATAAGAAACCTTTCGTCTTATCTTATATAATTCGCCGAAAATAATAATTTATTATATGAATATAAACGTATGCTTTCATTTCGAAATATTTTAAAAATATTGACCATAATCCTATTATGTTATAAACCAGTATTACTTATAAACATTGTATACAGTAACAGTCTTTGAAGGTAGTGAAATAGCGTCAACGCGATAGGGAGAAATGATACTAACTTCCAGCTTGTAGATCTCCCTTAAACGAAACATTAGTATGAAAAGTATGTACTCCCGATTATCCAGAACAATTAAAAGCAGGATTATTCCGTATAATCGAAAATCCGAATAATCGATTTCAAAGTCAACAAATAAAAAAATGAAATATATCGATAATGATATTCACAATACCTAGTTAAAACATGTTATTGATATTTGATGTAATGACTCACATCTTTTTATTGCGGCCTAATCCCTGATGCTCTTCGGTAGTAACAATTGTATGGGATTCAAATTAGTTAAAAGCGAAATCTAGAGGTTCAAAAGCTTTTGCGTAAGATGATATACATTTACATGAATGTAGTAAAGACAACCTATAACTTGAACGTTATCAAAGAAATGAAAATTAATAAACAATATATACCATGAGTACACGATCGAATCGGAGGACCACAATCACAGTCCGACATAGGAATATAGATAGATTATATCATATATATCATATATAGATAGATTATTAATTAATAAGCATCACAAAATAAGCACACATTTATTATAAATTATTTATAATAAAAAAAAACGCTTTAACTGTGCGCCGCAGCAATGCAAAAAGGTAAAGTGTCAAAGATTCCTTTGTTCAACATTTCATAATATGTTTCCTTGCGTCGTCAATTTGTTTAAAAGTTGACATTTAAATCTGAGACGTATGAGTCCGGATAATCGGATATTCAGATAATCGAGGTTCGGATAATCGGGTTCGGATAATCGAATGTTCAGATAAACGAGGTTCGGATAAACGAGGTACCGATAATCGAGGTTCAGATAATCGGGATTCTACTGTATTTATGTCCTTACCGCCTCCACAACACCGTGACTCTATCCTTGATGGCTGTTACGGTGACAGGTCCGCCGAGTAACGAGCACAGTTGCGGAGAAGTGTCCGCATACGAGGTTGTCAACGGGGATACGTATATTGGATATCCAATTGGTTGATCGCACGACGAGTTGATTATGTTGCGCAATGCCTAACGAATAGAGATGGATAAACTGTAATCTTCAATAAAAGAAGCGTAGTTTTTTTTTTTGTGAGGGATCAATCGATTAGTTGTTATAAAATCTTAGCGATTTCTCATTGAACACATGATCGAAGACGAGGATGACAACTTAATTTTGTATTTTTTTTTCTAAATAAATTTTTAGTTTCATTGGCCTGCTTAACAATACCAACAAAAATTGTAATTCAAGGAAAGAACTGGATTCATTAATATGTTATCTGGTAAAGTTACAATAAAGATTTTTATTTTTTCATTTTCATGTATATAAAGCATAATCCATTATATTGTACATGGTACAGTGCATATATGTTAGTTATTAAAATAGTTCACCTCTTTAAGAAAACATTAACAACAAAATTATTAGTTTGATGATGATAACGCTCCGAATTCACGTAGACAAATAAATAAACAAATATCACACATCACTTTCATTGCACAGATTCAAAGATAAGTAGCTAAAGCCTCCGTATTATGGAACTCAAGACAATATAGAAAAGTTATTTTTATACATCGACCCGACCGGGAATCGAACCCTTGATCCAGCGCGGGAGTCCTCGGGTATGGCGGTCATCAAACAACGAACCACTGCTTTTTTAGATACTTCGTTTTTGCAAATTATAATATCTATCTAGCTTTCCAAACCTAGCTTTCCGCGGCTACGCGAACTCGGTTTTTTACTATACTATGCCCTTTCAGAAGGTTCACTCTATCTGTGTACTAAATTTCATTAAATTTGGTTTAGTATTTTAGGCGTGAAAAAGTTACAGACACACAGATAGTTACGTTTACATTTATAATATTAGTATGGATATATAAGGTGTTATAAGACCTAACTTCACAAACTATTTTAGATTAGATTATTCAAACTATTTCAATTGATACAAATAAATCAACCTTCCCACTTAAACATAAGGTACACAATAATTGCTCACCTGCTTAGCATTCTGTATAGATCCACGTTCTGGATTGCGATTCCTCAAGTAGACTAGTTCTTGTTGCTGTCCAGCCCATAGTCCTCGAACACATTCACGGTTTAGTTTTATCACTCGGAAACCTAGATGTCGCTTATTTAACATTATTATCTTGTAATCGTCGCTGCCTTCATCCATAACATGCCTGGGATAAATAAAATACAACAATCAAACAAATTAGTTGATAAATTAAAAACAAAAATTTTGACTAAAAGAGAATTTCCTTCTAAGTTTATAAAAACTAAATAGGGTAGTGAAAAATATGTCTAAACTAACATAAACAGACAATGATGATGTGATATATAAAGTAGGTTGTTTGTGGTATTTAAATTAAAATAACAACTTTTATACAAGTGTATCACGTGACCCGAAACATTATGCCATGTTGTGACGTCACATCGGCAGAAATATTTATACATCTGTCCGATTAATCGTTAACAGCTACTTATTTATTTAATATTAGATTAATACCTTATTATTATTTTTTTTTTTAATTTGTAGTAAGATCGTTAAATATTAATGTTCTCGTGTGATTGGCATCTTTTAATCTATTATGTAATATGCTCTGTGTCTGATTTATGTACATATCGAAATACCGTCATAAATATGGCGGGTAACATTGTGAAAATTTGAACTCAATTCCAAAAGACAATCTCTACTAACAGTTTGGTCTTGTTACCAAGATATGTTCCAAGTGTCGAAGAGATTGCAGTACCGCGAGAAAGGACAGATACGCAGGCGATCCTATGAAGGTTCCGTTATTTTTTTTTTTTTTTGAGATATAGAACCCCACTAAATTAAAAGGTTAATGTACTACGCCAACTAGCTTACGAGATGAAGGCTATATGGACACTGAAAAGCAATAATGCATTACACCACAAACAGTTGCTCTCAGAAATTTTGATGTATTCTGTTAATACCTTACATACTTAACATTAAGCGAAAGAGATTCAACACGTTGTTTTAAACTTTCACGGTGATTAACATCAGAATTATTCCAGACAACGGGATTACTATTATGTACCATATATTCTATTATTTCACGAATTCTCGGTATTTGGGCGCTGTTGTAAAAAGTATGGAAAAAAAAAACATATACATCCTTAAACGCCATTTTCTCAAAATGTTGTCTGTGTGGGTTTGAAACATTATTCAGGGTCCCTTTATTGTATGAAATAAGGCGCTCTTATATTGCAAGTGGCACGGCTCGGAGTAGCTCGGTGGCGTAGTGGATAAGCGCCACGGCCCGCGAACGTTGTTGTTAAGAAACTTTCGCAAGGGTCGGTCACGGGATGGGTGACCAAAAAAATATTATCTCCAGCTACTCCCTCCTTCGGAAGGCACGATAAGCCGTTAGTCTCGGCTGCATTTGCAGTCATCAATAGCCTCCAATCCACATTGAGTCAACGTGGAGGGTTGTGTGGCCTATTCTCCTTACCATCTCTAAGGAAGGCCTGAGCCCATGCAGTGGGTACGTAACAGGGCTGATGATAGTGTAAGTACTGACCTCAGTGCAAGTAAATGCGGCGCTCCACGGAGTACATTATATCTCCACGCGGGCGCCGCTTCATGACAAATTACTAAACGTTGCGCGTGCGACGCTATCGCCGCGTATAAAGCTGAACTGCTACAATACTCTTCCGGAAACATGAAGTGGTCCTACAGGATGGAAATACATTTATCGGGTAATATATGGTAAAGGTTATGCTAAGAAAATCAATCGTAACACAAAAAAAAAATCCATGAATGTAAAATGGAAAGACGAACCTGAATAGTAAATCTAAGTAACATCTATTGACGCTTAACAAGAATAAGCTAGCCATGATTTCATGTTGTATTAAGTATATTAATATTGTACGATCCGAGCTATATTCATGGGTCGTTGGTTCAAATCAGGCTCGAAGGACCAGAATAGATGTACGAGCCGAGCTGTACACTTTTAATGTAAATAAGAATGCATGCTTATTAAATAAATGTTATTTGCCTATTGATTTTATGATATAAAATGCTTGACCTAATTATGAAGTAAGTAATATTTTAAGTATTATGGATTGTTTGGATATTAACCGCCAAAAATATTAACACGGTCAAAAAAGAAGTAGTAAAGTTATTCACAAATATTATATATTAATACCATTGCTTCTTCCTGTATAGGTTGCCTGGAAGAAATCGCCGTTAAGCGATAAGGCCGCCGTTTGTGCAAATGTTTCTATATTTGTAAGTTACTCTTCATTTATCTTTGTTGTGTGTTGTACAATAAAGTGTTTTTATCTTACTAAGGCATGTTTAAAAGATTTACCTGATGTAGTTTCAATGCCATCCGTATAGCTGGCGCTAGTACGGAGTGTAGAAGGGACATGTCTGTAAACACCCACTCGTCGCGAGCACAAGTGATACGAAAATCACCTTTGAACAGCGAATGTAGGCCGTACAGAAAGAATTCCACACTGAAATAAAATTGAATTGTTAATTTGAAACCACCTAGAAAAAGGTGATAATAGATTTTAATTAACGGTTATTTAATAGGGATGATGACAATTTCTTGTATCTGACTGACAAGATTTCTACAAGGCAAAACAAGAATTTCTACTTTTATTACCTCGGCGTCATCCCTATTAGATCTTAAAGATACACTTCCGAAATAACACAGACATACGAGGGTCAAACTGAAAGTTCTTAGAAAATCAAAAACTGATTACATTAGCCAGTTATTAGTTTTATTATATCTTTTCAAAATATTGTCCATTCACGTCAATACACCGCTGCATGCGATGGAACCACTGGGAAAAGCATTTTGCCCACTCGTCCTTAGGGGTCTCTTCAATGGCATCGCGATACGCAGCCACCGCTTCTTCAGCATTCATAAACCGCTTTCCTTTAAGTTTTTCTTTAATTTTTGGAAATAAATAAAAATCACAAGGCGCGAGGTCGGGGCTATACGGCGGGTGACCCAGTAATTCAACGTTTGATGTCGCCAAATAGTCGATCGTTCGCTTGGCGGTGTGCGACGAGGCGTTGACGTGGTGAAGGAGGATCCTACTGCGAGGTCGTTTCTCTCGAACTTTTTCCAAGACAAGTGGCAAACAATTGGTAGTGTACCATTCTGCAGAAACTGTTTTTTGATCCTCTAACACAATTGTTGCAAAATGACCTATCCTTCCAAAGAACGAGGCCACCATTTTTTTTCCCGCACTTCGATCTCTCTTCACTTTAGTTGGCAACTCCTCGAAAGGAAACACCCACTGAGCAGATTGTCTTTTGGTTTTAGGATCATAACAGTAAATCCAGCTTTCGTCACCTGTTAGTATGTCGAACACAGCATTTGAGTCACCTCCGTTAAATCTTTCAATCATTTTACGACACCAATCCACACGATGGAGTTTTTGAGCCTCAGTCAAATTATGAGGTATCCACCGGGCGCAAAGCTTCCTGACCACTAAATGTTCGTGGAGGATTTTGTGCACTTGACTCATACCGATGCCTAAGCTTGTCCGAATCTGTTGATAGGTCACTCTTTTGTCAGTCTCTATCATACGCCGCACAACACAGATGTTATCTTCAGTCGTCGCCGTAGAAGGCCGTCCCTCACGTAAATCATCAGTGAGATTAGTGCGACCACGTTTAAACTCATTAAACCAGTTGTAAACAGTCGCACGAGATGGGGCTTCATCGTGAAAGGCCAATCGTAGTCTATCATAACTTTCTTGTTGACTTAAATGACATCGAAAGTCATAAAAAATCATTGCACGAAAATTTTCTCGTGTTAAATTCATGATGACGTGACACAGACAATTTTCAATTTGCCGCCAAATCGTAAAACAAATGACAAATGAATGAAATATATACTCAGTAATATTGGCAAAGAGTTATATTTTCAAATTTTAGAATTATTTTTTTATTATATTGTTTATAAGTGGCCAGTTCTAAGAACTTTCAGTTTGACCCTCGTATATATGTCAATCTCAAGATCAAGACCAGCTCAACAGTGCGAGCAATCGTTCGGATTGCTAAAGATAATGAATGGGTTCATCTCCTATCTCGGGCACCTGGGACTGGTGTTCTATTTTAGGTTCGGGACCTCCTTGTTATAATACTGGAATCTGTTCGAATGATTCGTCAAAGTAACGCCCTGAATGATCTGTCTTCATCAAAAGAGCTGATGACCTTCAAATGCTACATACAAACACATCTATATCAAAGTTATAACACCCCTTTTTCGTCGTGGGCAAAAAATAGGTATCTGGTAGGCATGAGTTCGATATATCAAAACGTATCTGAAAACCGATATGAATTACAATATCATATCGTACCGATAACTGAAACTATGTATCGGATTTCTCATAACTACCTTAATACAAAACGCAAATCTACAAAACCGTATCGTATCTCAACTTTTTGAGCCTGATATTCGCCCCTTCTCTATTGAAGACCGTAGGACAAAAAGAGTTTAAGCGAATATCATATCCGCTATCTAGTTATCCTTTACTTTCAACCATTTAAAATAACCTTTAATTTCCAAGTAATACGGTCTATTTAAGAGTGCTAGCCAAGTAACGAAGACCACATCTCTTTCTAATGTAAGCAAAGATCCGTGGAGCAAATATCCGTTGATATATCCAAAAGTAACCAACAACCATTCCTTGACATTGATATCTGCTCTGCGATTCCGTAAAAATCCGAAACCGAATTTGAATTCACTTCGAAAGTGACATCCGCTTAACCTTGAATTGGTAATAACGTATCTTGGCATTATAATCAGTTTCAAAATGACATAAAAATAGAATAACTGAAACACGTACAATCGATCAATATTTGTTATTTATTTTTATACAAAAAAAAAATGGAATCAATAAAATTTCTACACTAAATGACGTTAGTTAATTCGAATTTCTGGTGAATTCAGTTTTCAAAAACGATATCAAAACTTGATATAGATTATGGGAAGTTAATAAAAAGGCCCGTATATATTACCTGGATGCGGACAGGTGCTGAGCGGCGGCGAGAGCGCGGCGGCCGAGCAGACTGAGCGCAAAACACAACGTGACCAGCGGCGAATCCTTAGCGGCCGCCCGCCGCCGCCAACCGCCGCCGCGTCTAACGCCACAGTGTACTATCCACTCTTGGTAAACAGCGCAAAACCTACTCCTGAACAAATATAAATACGTCTCTATCTAGTTACGAAAATCTTACCAACTCCCGAACAGCTACTTACTTATACTTCAATACATAAGAAACGAACTAAGTACCATCGCAATTTATCTGGAAATTAGCTGAAGCCCAGCGCGGTGTGTGCGCCGGCGATAGACAACTCTAGTAGGAGCTGTCTTCTCTGTACATTATCAGAGCAAGTAAGTGAATGTGCTAATAGTGCAAGGGCTAATAGTAAATTAGTGTAGTTCGTGTATAGTGAATAGTGCTACAACGCCATTGTCACGTACTCGATATTAGTTAAAATATGAAAATTTGGACCTAAGTGGAACTTTCATTTTAATTTAGTACTCATCTATATGGCTTAAAGTATCTTAAAGTAAACAATATATATATTTAAACATTTACTTTTTTATATATACATTTACTTTTTATACATTACCATAGCATTTCTTGTGAATTTTATGTAACATTGTTTTTGTATACTAACATATAAACCTAAGAATATTGTTACTTACAAATTATTCCCAAAGAATCAATGTATTTAATATCAAGTTTGTTAAATTTCTTAATTGTTTCCTGTTGCCCGGGAATATGTACGAGCAAACCCTTACATTTTTATATGTATCAATAATATGCTAACGTCGGCGCTGCGCGCAACTCGACACACGTTTAATAAATGTTAATATAGCTTAGTAGCAATAAATTACTCATTCGAACAACACGGTTTTATCATGTTATCATATCAATTATTTTCCGGGACAGTTTCGTGAACTCTTATCATATCAGTAACAATCATCTAAAGGTGTCTCAAACAATGCTTGCGATTGACCGATATTGCGATTGTGCCGTCCGGTACTCATGATTGGGTAGACTAACGCCAGAGTACGCTAGTGTACCCGATCAAAAGTACGATTGGATTGTCGATTGATCGCGATTGCGTTCGAGAGTTAGCATGCTGATATAAAATGTCTAGATAGAGACATTTTATATCTCGTTACGAAAATCTTACCTACTCCGAACAACATGCCTGCGATTGTGCCGTTTCGTAATCTTAATTAATTACTATATGAGTATTTTTATTTAGCTAGGCGTAGGTCAGTGATGTAGTGGATAAGCGCCGCGGCCCGCGATCGTTGTCTTTAAGCAACTTTCGCAAGGGTCGGTCACGGGATGGGTGACCAAAAAATTATTATCTCGAGCTACTCCGTGCTTCGGAAGGCACGTTAAGCCGTTGGTCCCGGCTGCATTTGCAGTCGTTAATACCCACCAGTCCGCATTGGGCCAGCGTGGAGGGTCATGGCCCATCCTCCTTAACCATCCATAAGGAAGGCCTGAGCCCCTGCAGGGGCTTATGGATGCCTGGGGACGTAAAAGGGCTGGTGATGATGATGATGAATATTTCTGATAAGGTTTGTATGTAACTTCGTTAATTAATGGTCAAATAAGTATTATTATCCTCTTACTCGTGATCGAGTACACTAGCATACTCTGGCACTAGTGTAACATTGTCATTGTCGATTGATTACGATTGCGTTGGAGAGTAAGCATTCTGATATAAAATGTCTCTATTTTATTTCGAAAATCACTCTAGGTAAGCCGCGTGAAAAATACTCCTGAAAAGATTTAAAACTTTTTGGTGCTGTTTTGATGACGTAATAGGGAAATTGGACATTTTTTTTTAAACCAAATTGTTGAAATAAAAATAAACCTAAAACAAAATTCAAATTGTAATATGTTACGTATTTTGTGACTTATTACTTATTTAACAACGACATCCCTATACGTCTTCTATAATCTTTTTAATAATAATTATCAAGATACACACTAACTAATGTTGAAAAATATTTACATAGACTTTATTCAAAAGCAATAATCGTAATAAAATATATATTATCCCTTTTTTGAATCAGACGCATATTCCCTATTGTGTTCTACTATGAGTAACATTTACAAATAAACATAATACACTTGTTGAATTTGGTCGTGTTAAGTTTACATACAATTTTTGTTGTTTTTGATATTTTCGAGTGTATTTTTAATTTTTCTTGTTACTTATTATGGTTACTAAAAAAAGCAACTGCTTTTATAATTTCCATAATAACGAAACATGATTTCATATAATTAAATATATCTCATGCCTATCAGTTCATAATTACTTTTGCCAATGTTTTAAATAATCATCTTTTCCTCTTGTTATCGAATTATTACAAAGCATAATAATCGCATTATTTTATGAACCATAGACCTCAATATTAAAATACAAACCGGCCTTTTTTTAATTCTTGCAATAAATTAACAACCTATAGGATATTAAATTTATTAATAATATTTTGGGGACTATTCACAAATATTTTAATAATTAATAAATTATAAGTATATCTCTTGCATTTTGTGCTGTCTATACTTTCTATATTCAAATGAGGTCATGTGGCTGTTATTTAGACAAGGTTCCAGCGCATTAGCTTTTTGCGGTACTTACATCAAATTCGATGTATTGTAGAAATACAAAAACCATCAAGCAGATAATATGATCAAAGTACATACCTTGTAATACCGGATGCACGAAAATCATAGTCTTCGTCCAAATTAACGTTAAATATCGGGTCCAAGTCTACGAAAGTGCGTTCGTTCATCGGCTTCAGAGCTTCCGAGAGCACTGGTGATGATAACCATTCCTCCAGTTTGTTTGACTGAATCGTGTAGTAGATGATACTCTGTTAATAATTAAGCAGGCATTAATTTTATACTTGTTCCAAAAATTGGATCCATTGCGTACATAATACAACTTTATAAGGATTTGTGAGGAAGAGCGTTAGTTTCGTTCGATAGTGTAGAGGATAAGCGCCGCGGCCCGCGATAGTTGTAGTTAAGCAACATTCTCAAGGGTCGGTCACGGGATGGGTGACCAAAAAATTATTATCTCGAGCTACGTCTTGCTTCGGAAGACCCGTTAAGCTTTTGATCCCAGCTGCATTCTCAGTAGTTAATACCCCCCTATCTACAATGCGCCAGCGTGGAGAGTCATGGCCCATCTTCCTTAACTATCCATAAGGAAGGCCTTGCAGTGGGGACGTAAAAAGGTTGATGATGATGATAATGAAGAAAATTAAGCTAGTTTATCTAAATTATCAGCTTTTTCAGAATAACGTGAAATTTTATATCCATTTTTTATTTATTTCATTTCACTCATCAATATCTAACAAAAATCATTATTATAAAATACATGAAATAAAAAAACTAACCTTGACATAATATGTCAGCAACACCTTCCTGAAGTCGAACACTTGCAGCATGGACACAGCGCTGTTATCGCTGACCGAGTATCCCTCTAGCACGTATCTAGCGCTGGCTAGCTGCCACGCTAACCAGCGTAGCGCCCAAGCGGCGCCGGGTGCTAAAACTCTACCGCCACACCACCACAAACCAGTGCAAACACCTTCTGAAATGTAGATAAATAAACATAAACGTCTACAAATTCGAAGGGTCAACGTTTAATTTCTCATAATTGTCGATAGATGGCGGTAATTTTAAATCTAAGGGACAAAGTTTATTTTTTAAGCTTTTTTAATTAAGAACAGACCAACTAACTCTTATATTTACTAATGATACAGCGTCATCATTATTTACGAGTGAATTACTCACGTATGAAATTTAGTGAGAGGGCTTAGTGTAATTTTTTTGACGTTTACGTTCACCTTCGATCGTAAGCGCGTTAAGATTTTAGTATGGAATCCGGTAAAGCGCCCCTAGCGGTAAGTATCAAGAACTACAAATCTCCATACAACGTCTTAACGCAGACACTAGTGAACGTGTTAACGTAAAAGTTACACTTAGTTCTCAGATAGTGGTCGTTCAATAGTCTACCAGAATACAAAATGCTTAATAAATCCACTTGGTCCCTGGCTTCTTAGCTAAAAATCTATAAAAATTAAGGTCGAATTATAGCCTTGTAAATCAGTCGAATTACTGAAAGTATCAAAATTAAACATCCTTAACTACTATTATCGAAAGTATTGGTAGATAAAGTTTCTAACTTTGTTTGTTTATAGGGGATAATCTTTGAAAATACTGACCCCATCATGATTTTTTTACCTAAAGAAAGTTACATTACACGCGAGTGACATAAGCTCTAATTTACGGCGACGAAATCATGGAAAACGGCCAATATATAATATAGTATTATATATTATTATTGGGAGGACAAGCACCAAGTAAAATACAAGACATCGAGACACTTAACTATACAACCCCCAATTACACAATTACTGTCTAAGAAGTCATTCTTTAAAATATTTACGAAATGTTTATTACGTAAATTGTATGTATATTTACGTAAATTTTTTGCTGATATTTTTTTACTTAAATAAAGTAGACTTTTTGTGTGAAACAGTCTATACATAAAAATTAAATATTTGCGCGTTTATAATTATATATATACGCGTTAGTCATATTGAGTATACGCCTTTGCAATAAATGCGGTAAGTCTACTGCTTCTAGATATTGCAAAACATGATCTCAAACATGCATTTGAAATCGTTGTACATTTTTCAATGTTTTTTATATATATATATAGAATATAAACAATATTCGCAAAATTCAAATGAGACACTATCAGAGCATTACATAGAGTCAAGCTCTCTAATAAAGTCTTATCTTAAAAAGCGAAACATTTTGCTAAAATCTCAAAGATTCATCCATCATCAGCCCCAGGTTGATTACACATTTCTCATGGGGAACTGGTGTGTTGAAAACCCGAATAAGAGGTTTATACTGATTTGTAATTTTAACTTGCGCCATGGTTCCCAAAGTAATTGAATCACTTTTAGATGAATTAAGCAGTAGGCCATGATCCTTCGACCAATCAGCAATTGATTCAATAACTACGTTCAACCTAGACACAGCAAAACGGAATTCATAATCTAAAGGTAACGTATGAATGTACAATTGGCTGTCGCCTGCGTTATAGATGGAGCTTGGAATGGGCCACTACATTCTCTATGTTAGCTGTATATATCGCATATAAAATTGGGCCCAATATACCCAAATAACCGAACTACCCCCTATTAACGTCAAGGCGACTCGAAAAGACTACCCTTCCCGTATCGGTTGTTGTGCGTACCATCTGGAACCTTTTTTCAAAGTAAGATTGAATCCATTCGCCTTGAGCAAATCAGTAATGTTTAAGTTTTGCCAGCAGAAGTTCAACACTAACACAATTAAAGGCCTTACTAAAATCAAGTAAGGTGAGTAATGTTCCTTTCCCTTCATTCGCAGCGGTAAGTATATCATAAGTTCATCATATGTAGTAGAGCTCTGACCGCGTACTATGATTACTGCGAAAGCCACACTGCATCTCTAGCAAAATATTATTTTCCAAAAGGGTATTTATAATTGAACACATATCTCCACAAATTTGGATAATGCTGGCAGGACATTTGTAGGTCTAAGATCGGAATTATTTGTAATATCTGATTATTTGGTAATGGAGTAACAATCGCACACTTCCAGGCATCAGAAAAATTCTGTTCTTCAGTGATGAATTAACTATTTTTTGAATGGAATCCAAGTAATCCAGAAGAGATACCATCAACATGGATATACCATCAGAGCCTACTTAATGGGACGACGATTCCTTGCTGATATTAACTATCGTATCTTTTGTAAATAGGGTAAATTCAAATACTTATTAGAATATGATTCCCTTAAACCCCTGTAACACACTTTTATTTATTTGATTTTTAGGTACAATGTTAATGAAATCATTATTTATAGAATTTCTTGTCAAATAGAAACACAAATACCCATAAAAATTGTTATTAGTTTAAAGCGACATTACCCATACAAATTTCTCATTCATTAGAGCTTGAAGGCGCCATTAAACCTTAAAGGACGTTTGTGCAACTGACCGTATATTTAACAAATCTAACATGAAACTATTAACGATCGAACGATAACATTTTTATCAAATTCAGTTATCGATGCAAATCTATTGATATAATTAAAATTAATATACTCACCACTGCTTTCCTCCGGCCCCTCGGATATGGCTTCCACTTCCCGCTGTTGGCAGTATGTACCTCTGAACTCTAGACCACGAAGTTGAAATGAGACAAGACCGTTACCCATCTCCACTATATGCACTAAACAGTTTAAGTAGTCCGATGCTAACACTGAAATAATACATATACTAAATATAGGTATGTGTGTATGGTTAACCTGTTATTGCTTAACTGATTGGCTACTTAATTATTTTGGTAAAGGTATTTTAAAACTTTGAAAATCATATTAAACCATTGTCAGATCTAGTTTTCTCCAAAAAGTGTTATTCAATAAACAACAAACATTTTTATATATTAATTTAAATTGTTCCGCGAAAACAATCAACCTAGTGACATTCTGGCCCGTGACGTCACATTTCGATAAACATGAGTCCTGGTTGCACTCGGAACAAAGACTAGAAAGACAAGTTAGTTTTGCAAAAATAAGATATATTTACAATTTAATTTAAAATAAAAGTACTACATAGTTATTGTTTAAATATATAATTTCCAAAATATTACATAATTTATTGTTATAAGTGTTAAGTAGCCAGTTCCGTGCGAAATACCTATATAACTAATTTATTTAAACAAATACCTTACCAAAACAGTCCCCCTGTTGAACTTGTCCCCACCGTCCGAGCATCAAATCTCCACACAGATAATGTTGTAACGAACGAGTCAAGTGCTCGTAGAATATAGAGTTGAGGTTGTTATCATCTGAAAACATTTTTTATATTCATGGAACCTATCCATACTTAAAGTGAAAATTACTTACTATTTGGATTTCTATCTTCTTAATTACTAGAGATGGTCGACATTATGTCACTTTTGATAAAATAAGTGATAAACATCAGTTCATCATTCAATTCAGTGATTAAGTTCCCTTGTGTCACTTAAAATCTTTGCTGAAATCTCACCAAAATTTGATGCAAGTCACGAACATTTGAACTCATTCGTGACTTACAGACTATACAGACATCTGAAGCCTTAGTTTATGTTTTATAAAAAAAAAGTATAGTTACCCGCTCCTAAATTCCGTTCCAATTGCGACGACAGTCTAGTGTTACTCTGATCCACCCTCTTTGTATTGTAATCGCGCTCCCAGAACTTTATGGGGCGCACATATGACGTCATGAATATGGCGCTACCTGTCATAATATTCGTATTCTAGTTAACAAACAGATTCATTTATTTTTAAATCATAAATTTACCAAATTGCGTATTTTTCTTCTATAATTTTAATTTATATTTTGTGATGTGTATAATAAATAAGTTTTTAATAAGAAAAATTTTTTTATGATTACGGAAAGATAAAATTATATGAGTATTATGATTTCTAGAATATCAAACTTCTACACAGAAAAAGTTGTATTTCATACTCAAAGAATGATTACGTCATTAAATACGAAAAGCTCACCTAATGCTGGAGTGAGAGGGGACGAGAGTAGCGCAGAGACAGCTGCTTGTAGAAACAACATGGCGGAGTGTGGGACAGAGAAGGGTTGCGCAAACGCATGGAAGGCACTGCCCCACGTGATCTGCCATGGCGCTATATACGTCACTACGAATTGAACCTACAAAAGTAAATTTAATATAATATTTATTAACTAAAAAAGGAAATACATATTTTATAATGTTTCAAATGTAACGGCACGATTTCTCCAATGCTGATAGCAGATCAATCGGAGCGAACAAATTATCTTTATTCTTAGTAAATTAATGAGATATGACATTAGAATTCTGATGATAAGACTAGTATTCATGGACAGTGGTTAATATATTTTTTGCCATTAATTCTATATTTCTTGCGTTGCCTGCATTCAAATTGATAAGCATGTACCTTTAGACGTCACATTATTTATTTCAAAGTAAATACTATCAAATAATGTCTTTTAAAATAAAAATTTTAGAAACAACAAATAAATTAATATTAATTAATACCTTAAGTAAAAACTCATAAACCTTGCTGAAGATAATAGCAGTGATAAAATAATCCACTAGAAATGTCTCAGAAATATTTCTAGCGCCGAGATCCCTTTGGAATAGTAGGAAAGCAAACACAAGGATCAAATATTGAGAGTCAGGCTCTGAGTAGGCGTGCCTTAGACCTGCAACGAACATTACAAATTACTTAACACTGAAATGAATTCAATTACCAATTTTAAATTACTTAAATAATAATTTTAAAAAACTTATAAAGAAACATAACGAAATAACGGACATAGACCCAAGCTTCTGATGAATGTTATTTTACTTTTCATTGCAAAATAAGCAATAGTCCTTAAACTGTTTATACCAAATTAATATAGGTTTCATATCTATATGGTTTAACTATACTAATAATAAAAAAGAGAAAGGATTTTAGTTTGTATGTTTGTTTGCATCGAATAGGCTCCGAAGTTACATCATACGCAGGTGATACAGGCTATAATTTAAACGGGCGAAGTCGCGGGACAGAGCTTGCATAGGTATATAAACTCACATTTCAATGCGCATACGCATATGATGAGAGCACCAACCGCATCTCCGTATTTTGCCGCAATCGCGGGAGCATCTTGAGTGATCGCTGCGACGACAACCGCCGGGTACAACACATTACGTTCCAGAAAACATAAGTACACAAATATCTGTAACATAACACAGATCATTTAAGTTAATGTATAATAATAGGCACAAAGTAATTCAATGAAACTTGTTACTGACTATATAAATACTAAAATAAATTAATAAAGCTATACATTACTAGCTGACCCGACAGACGTTGTCTTATCTTAATTATAAATAAATAAATAAAAATAAAAAATAAAAAGGCCTTTATTATTCCATTTGGCATGTGTACAGTACATGTTAGTAGGTTATCGTTAAATGCCACCTGGACCCCTCTACGGGTGAAGGCCTCCTCCAGAGATTGCCACTTAACACGGTTTTTTGCCAGAATTGGCCAATTTCTTGTACCGAATGATTCTATTTCGTCCTTCCATCTCGCTTTTGGTCGGCCTCTGCTTCTATATCTATGGGGACCACTCCACATAGTCACAGTCTTTGTCCACCTCTTATCAGTGTAGCGTGCCACGTGGCCCGCCCACCTCCATTTCAGGCCACGAGCGAAGGACAAGACATCTATCACACCAGTCTGCTTTCTTATTTTCCCATGGCGAACCCTGTCCTTTAGCTTGATGTTTAGTGAACTACGTTCTAAGCCTCTTTGACACGATGTGAGTTTTCTTCTGGTTATGTTATCAAATATCCACGTTTGACATCCATAAGCGAGACAGGGCAAGAGACATGAGTCCATTACTTTCTTTTTTAATTTTAAGTCCATGTTAGACTTCATAACTTCTTTGTAGCTCCAGAACTTTCTCCACGTGATTGCTATTCGCCTGTCTATTTCTTCTCTGTTGTTATTTTTGCGAAAGGAAACTTGTTTGCCTAGATAAATATATTCGTCTACATACTCAACCACATTATTGTTTATAAGAACAGGAGTTCTGTGATGATTAGACATGATTTTTGTTTTTGAGATATTCATTTCTAGGCCCACGCTCGTGCTTGTGTTGTTAAGTTCTGACATCATGGATTGGAGCTCTGTGGGGCTTTCTGAGAAAAGCACAATGTCGTCTGCGAAACACAGATGGTGAAGACGTTCCCTGTCGATTTTTAAGCCTTTGTTTTCCCAAGATAGATTTTTCATTGTGTTTTGGAGGACTGATATGAATAATTTAGGTGACAGTGGATCGCCTTGTCTAACTCCTCTGTTAATTTCTATTCTTTGTCCTGAATTTTCTAACTTGACTTTGCTAGTACTGTTTTCGTAGATGTGTTTGATGATTCTGATGTATTTAGTGTTTATATTTTGATCATAAAGGGCATTCCAAATGCTTCGATGAGATATAGAGTCAAATGCCTTCTTATAGTCAATGAAAGCTAGATATAATGGTCTGCGAAATTCATAATATTTTTCAATTATTTGCTCTAATACTTGTATGTGGTCTATTGTGCTGAATGATTTTCTAAACCCTGCTTGTTCTTTTGGTTGGTAGTTTTCTATGTCATTGTTGAGTCTTTCCAGTAGGCAACTAGCGAAAAGTTTATATAAACATGGCATTATACTTATGGGCCTGTAATTTTCCACGTCTATGGGGTCGCCCTTTTTATACATCAGTATTATTTCTGACTCAGTCCATGTCTTCGGAACAGTTTCTTCATCAAGAATTTTGTTAAATACTCTCGTTAAGGGGTTAAGAATCACTGGTTTTGCTAGTTTTATAGCTTCGTTTGATATCCCGTCGGTGCCTTGGCTTTTGTGCTCTTTTAATTTCTCCAATTTACTTAATATGTCGATCTCTTTAAAGTACGGCGTTTCTTCTTTTTGATTTAGTCTAGGTGTAATTAAAGTTTCTATATCTTCGTGGTATAAGTCTTTAGAGGCGCTATATAACCGTCTGTAGAATTCTGTGGTGGTGTTGATCACATCTGTCCTAGTTTGTTGTTTTGGAGAGTTCGCATTTAGTGTTGGAATCCATTCCTTTCCTGTATTTAGTTCTTTAATTGCCTTTTTTAGACTACCGGAAGATTTTAGATGTCTCGTAAATATTGATTCCCTATGATCTTTGTAATTTCTTTTTATCTCTTTGTTGGTTGTTTTGAATAGATAGGTAAGTCTAGCTTTTTCATCCTGACTTAGGTGTTGCTTGTGTAGTAGTTGACTTCTCTCTTTCATTAGGTTTAACGTGTATTCTGAAAGTATATTTGGTTTTCGACGTTGACTGTAGCCTTTTTGTTTATTTAGGCAAGTTTTAATTATGGTTTCAATTTTTTTGTAATATGTGTTGACATCTAGACTTTCATTTCCTTTTTCGAAAAGGTCAGGTGCAGCGTTTTTTAAGTTAGCAATATATTCTGATCTGTCTTCTAATGTCTTTAGTTGATTTTTCGGATTAGTGAAATTTTTCCTACTTAATTTCGGGGCTTTTAATTTGAATGAGCCTCTTAGCATCTTGTGGTCTGTTGGGAAGCCGGTGGATAGTTTCAAAATTTGTAAATGAGCCAGGAGAATTTGATAAGATAAAATCAATCTCATTTTTTGTTTTCTTGTCGGGAGAAAGCCATGTCCATTTTTTCTTCTTATTTTTCTTAAATAAGGTGTTGATTATAGTTAGATTTTGTTCATAAGCGTAATGAAGTAGTCTTACTCCTCGTTTGTTCCTGGTTCCATACCCAAATTTCCCAGTAATCAGCGATTCTTCCTTTTTTGGTGTGCCAATTCTAGCATTAAAATATCCCATGCAAATCACATTCTTTCCTGCTAATTCATGGGCTAGCTGAACTTCCTGGTAAAATTTTTCCACTTCGTCTTCGCTAGCTTTTTCTGTTGGAGCATAGACTTGTATGAGAGTAAGATTATAATCATCAAATTTTAGTTGTAGTAAACATACTCTTTCTGATATTCCTGTGTAGTTTTCGATGTTGTGTTTAAGCTTTGTTTTTATTAGAAATCCGACACCGTATAGGCCTGGAGTTTGACCTGTAGTACATAAGATATGATCTTCATCTTCTGTAATTTTTGTTCCTAAACGTCGTACTTCAGCTAATCCTATTATGTCGTATTTAATATTTTGCATTGTTTCTTTCAGTTCAAGGAGTTTTTCTTTCGTGCCTAATGTCTTGACATTGTATGTGCAAATAAGTAATGCGTTAGTGTTGTGTTTTGACAATATATTTTGGACTTTTTGGACTTATCTTAATTACGAATATTGAATTCGAATTGTTTTTTTTACATCCTATTTGACGATATTTGCAGCACGCATTCTGTCAATGTTAATATATATCAAACGTCATAAGGTTACATTAAAAAAAGTAATAGCACTGAGTTTAGATTGGAAATAAAATTATTTAAAATTTTCCTGACAATAACAGACATAACAAAAAGAATTAGCGAAATAGGTCCAGTCGTTCACGTGTCACAATTCTTGTTTCAATAACAATAAGGTGTAAAGACAACGCACTGGGTATTCGTTTCACTCACACTCAGGGAGAGTAAGCGCGTTAGTATTGGTTGATCTCCCGAAGGTGTGGTAACTGAATCATTCTGATTGGTCGGCATTTGCCGCGCTTCGAAATTCGGCAGGTACATCAATGAGCCATAATAGTTGTACTACTCTTTTAGGTCTGTACAAATCAGTTCAGTCAGTTCTGACGTTCCGTAAAGGATGATTTGCGACGCATCTTCTGTAATATATGAGCCGATCTTGCTATTATTATTTGGTATAAAAAATCTTGTCAGTTAATATGGCGCTATTTTACGTTAAATTGACGGCGTGAAGTATGCATATCAAATAGCAGCTGTATGCCCAAATCAAGGAAAAACAAATATAAAAAAGTATGCATATTTTATCTCACTTTTTCAAAGTACATGAGTTTCGCCGGTTCGGTGACTTCAAACTGTGCATGCTCATGCTGCCGCAGCACGGGCCCAGTGAGACATAACCACGGCTGCTGTTTCCGAAGCTGCGGCGTTAGGTAGTGCAATACCCAACCGAGGATGCCCGCGATTATCCATAGAACCTACAAACGTAATATAATATAATAATAAAGTCACCTGTACCGTAATTTGCAACAATCTCATGTTTTTTGACTGCCGTTTGACTCATGGATTAAAAGTCATAATTTTGAAATGCTAAAATTAAGTAACATTCAAAATCAATTAACGAGAAAGTATATGCTCGACGGCGATATATTGTTTTGTGTTCACCGATTTTTTAGCGAATTTTTGGCCTATTTCCAAACTCATTTTTTTATTAGACAGCTTATAATAGAACGAGATAGTCCCAGTAAAGTTTTGTCGAAATCAAATCTGTGGTTTTCTTTATTTTTCGTTTAGAGTCAATTCGCAGACTGTTTATCATTTCCAAGGCTATTGACATGAATTTTTATTCCACGTTCACAAATGGAAACAAATGGAACTCTATAAAGTCTTAAAAATGTTTACTAAGTCATAGAAGCATAACATACTTATTAATTAATTCCATAACTTCTAACTAGACATAGCTAAATTTTTTCGGCGTTTATAAGTCGTAACTTTAAGGAAGTATTAAGTGCGCATGGTAAAATCATGTCACCTTTATATACTTACCATATTCAATTGAGGTCTGAGAGTAGTGAAAACAGTTGTGCAGTGCAGCCCAAAGACGAACAATCCAAGGAAAGTGCACACGATGACATCATTCTTCAAGCGTGCATTCACTGTAGCTTGCAACTTCTTCGGGAGGGGATCTTCCATATCCTCTTCCGGTTTATCTGATCCTTCTTGCTTGATTGTGTTAGAATTGTTCGTATTTGAGTCACGGGTTTTATCCTCCGTTTCTGTCGGAGGGTCAACTTTCAATGAAGCAGTAGAGTTCATAGTATCACCGGCCCGAGGGTCCATCTTCAATGAACTTACACTAGACGTCTGTGAACGCTTCTGTGACTTTGCTATGTTAGTTTCAGAGCTAAAATTAATTTTTGACGCAGAGCTTCCTATGGAGTTTTGTTTAGATATATTACTCTCTGAATTGTTCTTTTTATCATCTGTCAGTTCATTATTAGGTTCCTCTTTATTACAATCTGGAGAACATTCAGCACTGTGCATGACATACAGTTCAGGGGGCAACAAATGTTTTTTTATTAAATTCCAAATGAGTGTATAATCACTTGCACTACGACTCAAATGGTATGCGATTGGTACAACAAGCGCACAAAATATGGAAAAGAGGATATTATGCTTTTGATGTTGTGATTTTTTACCTTCAACCAAACCGCTATAAGCAAATCCATAGAGAACTCCTATTGCTGCTAACGATCGTAACACACAGTATACTGCAGCGCTAAGACTACTCGTAGCATTACCACCAAATATATGCATATCTATCTGTTCTAATAGATACATCAAAAATGTGTTTACTTGAGGAAATAGCCCTAAGCTGAATGCTAACGGAAAAAACAACAGAAACTTTGATAAAATTTCCTGAATTATAAAAAAGAACTCTCTCTCGTTTAATTCAATACCATATACCACTAATGGTTTAATTTCTTCAGTACTTCTTCTAGTTCTGACGGTATGATCTTCGGGATATGATGATGTTTCTCCTAGAATACTATTAACTGCATACAATATTCCGGCACATAAACAGAAATACACAGGTCTTGAAAACACCACCATTTTATTAAATCCATGTACAGGCGATGCCGAATCAGGTTGCACACTTTTAAGTAAAGAATATTGGCTACCAGCCATAATGAAACAAAACCAAAATGCATAGATATCTCGGTAAAAACCAAGATTTAAAACCATAGATCCCAATACGGCAACTAAAATGGCCAATAGAATAGATACGAATGTTTCTCTAAAAGTTAAATTTCGATCAAAAAGTGCCATAAGCTTCAGTCGGTCCATAGTCACTTTTATTTCGAAACATTTGGAAAGTTTCATTTTGTAATAGCTCTTGGGTTTCGGTTGATTCGCTTTTTCAATTTCGTCCATGAGCTTGGAGAATTTACTTCTAATATTTATTTCTACACTTTCTTCGCCAATAGACGGCATTAAGCTTGGAATATTTGCAGATACAGTTTCAGCTTGCTGTTGAGCTTGTTGCTGTGCTCTTTGCTGACTCATTAAGAAATTTATATGCATGCTAGGTACTCCCATCCTAGACTGTCTTTCTGCTTCAATTTGTTCTAATAAACTATCAGTCACATAAGCTACTGGTGATCGAGGTTGATCAGTGTGTGAACCAGTCCCGCCGTCGAAAACGTAGAATCTTTTATTTGGATTATTTGTGTTTATAGCAACAACCGTCGAGACATTGTTGTTACTAGACAAAAGTGGGTTGTTACTCCCTTGGTTTGAAGAACTTTGGTCTATGCTATCACCACGTTTCTTTGGAATGCTTTCGCTGTTTCCAGCTTCGGATTCTAAAGATCCACAACTTCCTTCGCCTGCTGTTTCTTGGGAATTGTCTTGATTTTCAAGAGGGTTTACTCTATTGACCCGCTTATCTTCTTTTTCTGGTAATTGCATAGGTTGTGCTTGTATTCGTCCTGAACTATTTTTATCAAATGTGTAAGACATCCAATTTCCATATTCATCCATAAAACAATGTATTGCGCCGTCTGTTGTATCATCAAACGAAGTAGCAAAATGTACATTTGTTGAATTATTTGCATTCTCTGTGCTCGATTGTTTGTCTTTCTTTTCTGCACTATTTTGTGAAGGATTATTCCGTTGGCGGGTAGATCTTTTTATTTTACGTACACGGTTCCTATGATTTCGATCCATTAAAGGTCTCATTCTTGGCAACTCTTCATTTGGTTGTGCAGGATCTGGAGGAGCATTACTGTCTGATGCACAGCAAGGCATAAAATCAACTCTAGAATTAAGGAATGCAGCTAACAATGGCATGGATGTAGGAAGTAAAGTATTAGTAGAAGTTTGAGCAACTTCTTCTATAGACCGTTTTCTTGTTTTATGAGAGTTTTCTCTTTCACATCGTATACTCTGTCTGTGACTTCGTGATCTGTCTTCTCGATTTGGAGGAGGCATAACCACCGTATTAGCATTAGTTGCCGCGAACAAACATTCCAGGCCTTGTACCAAAGCAGCTTGAGCTTCAACAGCATCTAAGAGTATCCTATCATCTTCAATATTTTCATCTTTTTCTTTTTTGTTATCTTTAGAATCTCTCTTCTTGTTTTCCTTCTGTGATGAAGCTCGTGAACGCGCTAAGTTTTTTATCTGCTTTGGTATGGCCCCTAAGTTTTTTGGAACATTAGAAGATGATTCACCTAAAGCATTGGTTAGTTTTTGACATATCATATCTTCAGCAGGTAATAAACAAGCTTCCGTTTCTTTGTAACAGCCTTCTTTGGACTGACTGGTTTCCTCAAACAACCAATCCAAACTATAAACACTCTTTTCATCAGCGCTTTTACTGTCACAGGTTAATTGTGACTCTTCAGTTTCAGGCACAGTATTGTTTCCATTTTTACTATTTTCCAGATGCCTGTCTAAATGAGTATCACTACTACTACTAGAATTAGATATGTCATGGTCCCAAGGTTTCTTTACTACATTTTGTCTAGATTCTGTCCTTTTATTTAATTGGTCAGCATTTTCATTTGATTCTAAACTAGATTTTTCTATTAAAAAGTCCTTTGAACTAGCGCTGGCTTTATCGAAATAATCGGAACATTGGTTGAATTTACACTCACACTCGATTACTTTCCGATCTGGACGTTTATTTTCATAGCGAGGTTCGTTTTTTGTGACCTTTTTCAATCTTACAGGTTTCGATTTTTCGATAGTGCAATCAGTAATATCATGCTTAGAACCAGGGTGTCTTTCACAACAGTGTTTTTTGCAATCAGTCTGATTTTTTGTACGAACTACTCTAATATCTGTAGAACGATCTAACAATGGTGATCTAGAACCATTATTCTCAAAATCAGAATCACTAGAACGTACCGCCGGAGACTGTTCAGCATCCCAATCAAAACCACGAAACTGTTTTTCATCATCATAATCACTATAGCTTTCTCCACTGGAATCTAAATCAGTTTCTTTTTGAGAAGTTTGCATTTCGTCTGATATTTCGGCTATGGGATAAACTATTTCTGATCCATATGTGAGATATGGATAACTACAACCTTCGCCGGATTCATTTTTTGGGTACAGGTTCAAATGTGGCCCTCGAGTAAGACTTTTACTTGGTGGCGGAATTACAGCACTTTTAGGATTTTTAAGCATTTGACCACCAATAGTTTCAGCGCTATTTGGGTGTGGTGATAAGTTAGATACACTTGGGGGTGGACAACCTATTTCTAAAGCGGCACTTTTTATTCGTCTCACACCTGGACTCTTACCTTTATTCTTATCAGCGTCACCACTTGGGGCTTCAGCTTTAACCATCATATACTCGCCTAGTTCAACGCTAGCAAAAAACCCAGTATCTGCATTATTAGAATGTCTTCTCATGTGCGATACTAATTGTGCAGTGGAGTTTAAAAGTGGCAATTGTATGGTTGACATAGTAGAGTTGGAATTTCTTCGCATATTAGAAGTCTGTGCTGTTGCTAGAGCCATAGCAGACTTAGTACAACTTTCATCAGGATAATTATTATACCTGCGTCTGTGGGCGATTCGTTTTTTTGGGGATGGTGGACCAACATTGGGTTCTGAATTATCTCTTGAATCAGAACTAAGGTGACGGGCGAACTTAGATTGGTATGGTTCACCAGTTGCTTCACTACCATCTAAATATAACCACTCCTTGAAGAAATCTCTATTGCTAGACCCACGCCTATGTGAACATTCGTGATAACGCTTACTTACTTTAGCAAAAGGTCCTTCATCAACTAACATATGAACAGGTAGATTACTTGGATTTCTAGAAGCTTCTTCAACGATTAATTCGTCGATCCTATTCCCCTGAGTCCTCCTGTTTTTAGTTCTATGATCTCTTTTGTGGCTCGATTTTGATCTACTTCGGTTTTGTGGACGGCATATTGAAGGGCCTGATGTTTCTGGTGCTTGAGCCACGCACAAATCTGACTTTGTAGTGGCGACTACCTCTGACTGTTTAGCAGACGTTGCACTGTCTTCAATACTTGATTCAGAACTGTTTTTACGATGAACATCTACTTTTAAATCTGAAACAATCAAAATAAATGGTAACATTTTAACTACGCTGCTTTGTAAGTCGTTGCTCTAGAAAAATTTACATATAAATATGATAGCTTTAATAGAACAGACATAAGTCAGTCAACATCTGAGGATAACATAAAAAAATGCGAGAAGATTCATATCCTCTAATACTTCCTCGAGATTCGAACTCAGTTTTGACTTCAGCATTTGAGTATCTCGCATATGATTTATGCGCACTAAATAGACTTTAAAATAGATTTTCTGTAGAGATACTTAAATGACTTCTTTAATGAAAAAAAATCTAATATGTCGGAATTACAAAACTAGAGATCGCGCATTTGCGATTCGCGTTCGGAAACGCGCGGTCAAAATAATTTTAATTGGTAATTCAATATTGACAATCACATTGAATTGCAGATGTAATTTGAATTTGCACGCTATTGAAAGAGTTAGGTAATTCCGGGTAATTGTACGAAATTATTTCTGTTCGGCGATCTGCTGTTTTAAATATTTTAAGCCTTTGTTTAATATTGTTTTTGATATAAAATTATCAGAAAATATTGGGTTCTGAATTCTTAATAACATAATTTGTAGATCTCCCAATAAAAAAAAATACAAATAGTGAAATAGAATAATAAAATTTAGAAATAAATAAAACAATTAAGTTTTCATTCACTTATAAAATATGATTGTCTTGTATATCAGGCTAGACTTTTTTTCGTTATATTTTATTTGTTCTTTAAAATTTTATCAGTTTGAACTCCACAGTACTAATACTTCTATACCATGTTGTGTAGCCAGCAAAAGAGAAATCCTTAACCAAATATATTCGGCACCAAAATCAAATAATTCAGCTGAAAAAGATGCCGAATACCAAATACCAAACGAATATTCGGTGCATCTCTAATACATATTACCTATTGTGAGACAACTTTTACTTACACACATAAACATTCAAATAAAGCTTTATAATTAATAGTTCTGTATTGATTTAAAAATTACACAAAATAAGAAACATAAAAAATTGTGTATAATTCTATAAGCACAAGTTTAAAATTAAGGAATTAATCTTATAAAGTTTACCGATAGTACTATTGTTTGGCTTGTGATATTCTAAAGATGTCACAGATTCATTGTCGCTACCAGTTGCTGCTAGGCCACCTAATCTCAACATCTGCATTTCCATGCCTTCTTCAGGTCTATAAAGAAAAAACCGAGTTACTCAAGTACAACTAAAGCTATAATAGAATGTAAAAACATTAAAGAAAAATATCACTTAGACATATCTGCAACTATATCAATATGTTAAACATATACAATACACTGCTGCACTACAAAAGCATTTTTTCATAGCTAGTTTTCCACCTGCAACTTTGCCTACATGGTCCTGTATTATACAAACAAACATTCCTCTTAAATCACTCTGTCCATTAAAGAGAACTGTATTAAAATTAGTTGTATAGTTTAAAAATCTCAGTAAATAGACTCAGTAATAATAAAATTTGTGTTACATCATGTGTTCATAAGTTTTGAGATGACATAAAAGTTGCATAACTTTTTTAATAATTACTTACATTTCTAAAATTTTCAGTAACCATTAAATAGATAATAATCAACTACAAAATATAAATATTATTCAAAATGACTGCCCTTGTTTTGGCGATTTGGCCAGTCATAAATGGCGGCACAAATCTTTGCTAGCAGAGTTTGCTTTGCTTCTCGAACAAAGGTCCACTTGCTTGGGTGGGGCTTTCGGCAGGTCCTGAGTTCTAATTCAGTCCCATAAAGTATAATCCAGCAGGTTGAGGTCGGGGCTGGAGGAGGGCCACTCGTCCGCCGCAATGAAGGCCGACACATTCTTCCTCTACAAAGCTCGAGTGTTTTTTGCGTTATGGTATGGCGCCGTCTTGCTGAAAAATCCAATCCTTATTGTGAAATAACGTATCAGATAGGGGTTTCACCACGGGCTCTACAATGTGACTGATAATTTTTGGATTTCACCTTACACTTAGTTGGCAGAAATGGAGCGGAGTGATACCTTCATACGAAACTCCCCAACATACCATCACACTAGCTGGATGATGAGTGCGCGAGACATTCCGTGCAGAAGCTGAGACCTTGTTACTTTTAGCATACACTTTACTGTTTTTCCGATTGAACTTTTCTTTGACAGTAAAAATGTTTCCGTTGGTGAAGAGTATCTTCCTGGCATCACGTATCCTCAGCAGCAATGGACAACGTTCGCGTCGTAACTAACAAATACGATTGTTTAAAAAGTTGACTTTTCTACTGCTATAGGTCTTCACCTTAAGATCATATTTCAGTATTCTGTTCATTGCAACATGCAAAATATTATTCTGCAGATCGAGTTTCCACTGAGTGCAACATGGATTTCGACGAAGTCGGATGATTTTGATGTTCGCAGACGCCCTCACAGAACGTGGCCAACAACTCCTTTGGCTATCTTGCAGAGAACTTGTCTCTTTGTACCACTTTATTGTGAAATAGATGAAGTTACGGCTTACAGGAAATCTTTTTAGGACACAAAAATCTACAACGGTTTTCTTTCTCCCTTAAATAGCGCAATGACAGTTGCACGTAATTGTTTCTTTTCTTCCATCACACGAAAATATAAGCTGTATGAATGAATTTGTGATATAAATGAACTATAAGATAACATTTCAAATTAAAAATTGTTAAAAAAAATAACAACCAATCACATATTATTTAATTTTTTCAGTAAAAATTTTGTCTCAAATCTTATGAACACACAAGGTATACTATGCATACATTTATCAATTGATTTTTAATAATTTTATATTTTATAAAAAATATACTCACACTGTATTATTGTTAGAATTGTTTGCGTCACTAGATGGCTGAATGATTATACACTCGCTGGTATCATACATGTGATGGAGCCCATGGTTCAAGAGTTTAAGACATGTGAATAATAATGCCACTAATCCACAGTAGATGATCCAACCCAGACTGGCCGGTGGGAAATACTGTGAAGAGATTTACAATATCAAAACTTGTTTAAAAATATATATCACAATATAACAATTTATGTTACTAGCATATTTGAATTTAATGTATATTTATGTGTGCATGAGATTATTTAATGTATTTCAGTTTAAAGTATATAGATATTCCAAAATATTGATATTTCTCCTTTATTTTTATTTTTTTTATGAATAAGATCCAAAGAAAACCTACAGTTCTAAACAGAAATTATAGTGAAATTAGGAGGCATATAGCAAGTTACATTTATAAAACTTACTCAAAAGATATAACTTGCGAGGAATACATAAGTTGCAAACAATTGATGTCAGTAAAATTTTCCCTAAATACATCTTGTGAAAAATACTCAATAACTAACCTTGAAAAAGAACTACATACAAGTATTTATTTCTAAATATCTATGAATAGATTATTTTCATGCTTAAAATATGATGATGATCTAAATGGTAAGTCTTACACACATACTCTTAATTTAGCCTCTTAACAATATAAATGACATAAAAGGTACCCTACATTACATTATTTGGCTTTTATTTCATAAATACAATATTATTTGTTCGATATCTATTGAAAAAAAAGAAAACACTAAAAATAAGTCTAACAACAACAAAATGTTGATATTATCATGTTGACCTGATTTTATTTTAGTTTCATTCTAATGGTAATTTACTATGCATAAAGATCATAATATAGTTCTTAAAACTCACCAAATACACAGAAAATGGTAAGCATAACAGGAAAAGCCAAATGTACAAATGCACAGTGTTGCAAAACAAATTCTGATGGGGATCATAAAACCATCCTCCTGTCAAAGATGCCCATACACCTTGGCGTAATATTTCTAATGTTTGTGAGCCCATCTTATACGCTATGTTCACATTTCTACACTTTTTTCACTGTCCACTCACATAAAACACTAGGTAATATAATAAATAACATAATTTCAACAGATAAATTTGCAATTCTCTAATCTTCCGTTCCCTGCCATTTTGTATGACAAATGCATTATACACACAAAAAGAGACCTTAAGGGCATGTACCCTAACTATTGTTTACAATATTTCAAGTCTCATACGATGATTTTGCTAACTTATCTATCACTTGTTTTATTGCGTAATTGAGTTTTTTATAAAGATATAGTTGATTCTAATAACTTTCTAGTGAAATTCTTAAATTACACATAACAATATATAATACACTCTCCAATCAAAATTTCCAATTCACTCGCTCATTTCTTTCTCTGGATCGACTTGACTTGACATATAATGTTGACACTTGACATTAGGAGTGATGTACACACATGAAAAAATAACAGGTTTTGCTATATAACAGTATGTACTGTTAAAGGTGTACCAGAATCTGATGACACAAAACAAAAATTATAAACATCGATTTTCATATGGAAATATAAATTGACAAATATTTTGAGAATATTTGTGAAAATATTGATTTCAATGTTAATAGCAAAGTTTGTGAAAAGACCCTGAAGGTCAATTAAATTTTTTGATTTCAAAGTGTGTTTTGTGAATTGATCGGTAACCAGCAACGATTAGTTTTGATACTTAACGATTACGATTATGTACTTTTTATAAAAAAAAAGTACATAATCGTTGGCGAGTAGACTACTACAATAAAATTAATTACTAGTGAAGGAGAAGATATGAAGGCATTTTTACATGCCGGGGGAAAATAGAAACGGTGAAAAAAGATAATAAAGAAAATCGAATTTGATTTAGATATGTAAATGTAACAAAGAATTGCAATATTAGTAGAGATTAGTAATAAAAAATACATAAAGATTTTTTTATTTATTCGAATAGGTTCCGAGTCAGTTAAAATATTATTGGGTTTTTCTATCGGGTCGGGTGCTGACAATGTATAATATTAGATGTTGTTAATATAGAATGTACAAGTGTGTTTGTGTACTAAAATATGTTTCACGCAGTTGACTAATCTATGTCAAGATTCGGTCAGGGTATGTTCAATGCTACGAGGCAGTTATTGAAAAGTTTTTATTTTATTAAAATATGACAAGTGTCAACACGTCTCTATCATGTTGCCAACAAATTAAAATTTGCAAATATAAGTATAAATTGGAGAAAATATGCGTATCATGACGAACTCGGGAATGTATTAAAAAGCACCTCTGGCACAAAATGTAAACAAATATGGCGACATGACAGATTTAGTAATGAGGGATATTATTAAGAGTTTGATTGTTTGAACTATCTCATTTATGTCATTCAGTGACTATTCTCAGAGTAGTATAAGATTATATAATAACACGCATTTTAATAAATTGGACAAGTTTACTTAATTATATAAGTATTACATATTAATTTAAAATGACGTTTTATTGGAAATAAGTATTAAGCGAACTCCTGGTGAATATTAAGTTTTATTGTATTTTACTTCATCGTCGTTTGATCTTAGTTTCACAGTAAACAGGAAATCTGTAGAAAAACTAAATTCGAAAACGTTGAAGAGATTTTCTATGAAAAATAATTCGCTTTTTTTAATATTGACAGCTTTTGATATGCACTTCATCCTAAGGACTGAAACTTTGAAATGTCTTTCGATAAAGTTTTAAAAATATTGCAATGCATTTTGCCCCTGAACTCTCTATTTGTACTGTGAGAGTGTAAGGGACCAATGGAGTAATTCTGGTAACACTGACAGTGAAGATAGTGACTAGTTTATTTAATGTAATTATTAATTTATTGGCTTATTTTATTTATGATTTAGCTATTTTATCAGCCAGTTGCACAAACGTTTATTAAAATTTTCATTAGTTTAAAGCGACATTACCCATACAAATTTGACAATCATTAGCGCTTAAAGGCGTCATTAAACCTTAACGGATGTTTGTGCAACTGGCCGTATGTGTGATAGATTTTAATTATTTTATTAATAAATGTGAATTATTAATTTAATTTTATTTTTTTGTTTAGTGTGTAACGCTTATAAAAAGAGTTTAATAGTTATTGTTGTTTTTGGTGGGTTTAGGACCTTTAAGAGCGTTAACAGATGGGTAATAAAACAAATCATTTTTTATAATAAACGTTTACTACCCAAAAAGTAGGGAGACATGAGATCTCAAGGTTAGGGTTCGACGGGAAGCTCACAACGTGGATCAGTATATATACAGGTACAATTTTATATGGCCCTAGTCAACCGTTCGCAATAGCTAGGTCTCGGTCATCTACGGCCGAAGAGGTCCAGTGGTGTAGGCCATGAGATGGGTCCGAAGCCAGCGCTTCAGCACCCAGATGTTAGGTAAAATTGATGATGAGGGGTGGGAAGGAACTCTAAATGAAATTTAAAAAATTGCCACGGCCATCAGGTTGGCTGCGACATCACTGGTCTTCAGGCGGTGCGAGGTAAGAAGCAGGAACAGATGGAATAACGCCATGGGTAGTGATCAGTGATGAAGCAGACAAACAGGCAAGATAATTAAGCAAATAAAAAGTGGTGTGGATTTCTCGTTAAATAAAAGAAACAAGTGGTTATTTTGAAATGCCACACCCAAAAAATCATTCTAGATTTTCTTACTAGGTAACAAATAATTCGCAAGGTGTTCAGATGGGACTAAAACACGGCCGTTAATAAAAAGTAATTACATAAAGATACAGTATATTGTTGAGAAACACAATATACAATTTAGACAAAAAGAAAAAAGCTAAACTGATTAGAAATTGTGCAACACTTTCCCACTTCGATAAAGTTAATAAAAAAATATATAATTATTAAAACATTAATTTTACGTTCGCGGCTACAGCGGCCGCAAAAGAATATTGAAGGATTTCATGTTGATGTTACGCTGCCTTCGATTGAAATGTGTCATCAGGGGCGCACAGGTTTTGTACCTTTCATAAAACTGGATTGCGCCTGCGACGCCGAGAACAATAGCTTCGAGCAAGACTTGTTGTCAAGCCTGTCGCCGTTTATCTATATAGAAAATTATTGGTTTGTCAATCTTCGGACAACAAATTTTATAGTAAAATAAATGTATACGTTTTATAAAATATAAACCTTTACAAGTGTGATAATTGAAACTGATGTACGTCGTTTTTATCACAAAAATAAATAAATAAAAAATATGAATTTTTTAAGCACTTTCACTTGTTTCGTCAAATGGAGATTCTGTCTCCCTTTCAGACACATGGATTAAAAATACCAGGGGTTATTTCGTCTGTAATGTTGTCTATTAGACCATCCAACTTCATCCTTTTTTTTTCATCCTTAATTACATGTTGGATGCATTTTCTCCATGCTTTTATTTTCCAGTTTTGAAAATTAATTTACTTTTATACATGAAAGAAAAACAGAAGGGTTGTCATTTATTTATTATATTTTTTTTATTTATAAAAGGCACAGCCACAGAAAACAAACCAAACAATACAATAATACAAAATGTGTAGCAAAGTATAGCACTAAGTTTGTCCCCCGATTATAGCTACGCACAACTCTTCAAGAATACAACTTACAACTTATATAGACAACACAGGCAATTATTATGAAGTTTTTTAAGATCACACGTGCGCAAGAAAATGGGTAAGCTTTGGGAAAAAATGTCCAAGTCTTTACTAATATTACTGTAAGCTCTACACATACGAAAAACTGGATCATTAAAAGTTACATTGTTGTTACTTATAGGTAAGGAAAACAGCTTCTGCGTTCGAGCACTACCAATTCTGAGCGAGAAATGACCCAGCAACTCACTTGCATCCCATTTGGCGTTGACAATTTTAAACAAAGTACAATATTCGGCCATCTTACGTCTGTGACTAAGTGATTTTAAAGAAAAATTATTCAAGCGTGCCTCGTAGGTAGATAGCTTGCGTGTTAATCCAAATTTAACACTTAGATTCTCTATCTATATATCTACTATCTATCTATCTATCTATTTATTTGAAGGGATAGTACACAGCTCAGTACAAACTAATATTACAATTTTTAATTACAATTAAAGGCCAATCACTGCTATCCAACAAATTACAAATTTATTATTTATCAGAGAAACAGATGAGTGCACCATTTCAATAAAAACAAAAATATTCTAATTAACTCAAGGGAAAGCTAATGTTAGTTTGTTAATATAACAATAAAAGAATATTTGGATAAGTATTTTATGTGCATTCTAAGTTAAATTTATACATTTTTGCATTTATAGTTATATAACTGTATTTTTTTAATTATAAATGAATGAGGAAGATAAAAAATTGGATAAATAAATAAATGCCCTACACATACTTTTGTGACAAAAAAATGAATTTTTTTTTGTTGCCATACAGTCTACTCGTGTTCAATCAAACAATTAGTGATTCTGTATAGGAATTGTTTTTTAGAACCAACAAAGGGGTCGACATCACTAAATTTACTATTATAAAGTTTGGGTAACCTAGAGAGTATAGAGTTTTGACCATAATTGGTGCAATGCAATGGAACATGTAGCAGGTGCTTGAACCTTATTAGGGAGAAGGGAGAATACTAAAGAGTATAATCATATCATGGAGAAATCAACAAAGTACTGTGGCGACATGTTGTTTGATTTCGGGAACTAATATTTTTTTAAAAGCTGCAATACATGTTGGTCGATGTACTTATGCCAGTGTGTATACTTAGTGTTAAACAGCGATAAGACTACCCAATCTATCGGGCACGATCCATCATGTACACTGTAAATTGGGTAGTCTAATCGCAGTTAGAGAGTTAGTGTCCCGATATCGGGTGAACGTGGGCGCCCGGCCGCCCGATCTCACTAGTTAGTGCGTTAGGGCCGATTTATCGGGTAATGTGACCGCTGTTAGGGTGTTAGAGCGCTCAGTCGGTTGTTGCGCAGCGTGCGTGTGAGACGTCAGTGAACGACAACGTAATTTGCGAACATCGAAAAATATCTTCTCAAAAGGAAAAAGAAATAATATTAAATGTAATTTAATATTATTACTATTTTTCACCCAACATTTTTTTTTTGCTTTATTATTTAAGGCCGCGGTTAAAATATGGGCTATGCCAATTCTTTGGTACTTTGTGAGCGCAGGAGCCATCCTTTCAACGCCACGTTTGCATGCCAGCCAACACTGAGTTAGGGCGCTTGTGCACTACACTGAATTTTCATGTCCGGCGGTCCGATTTTTTCAGGTCCGATATGTCAGGCCATATGTAGGTAATGCGCGCTTGTGCGCTGTCAGGAATTTTACCGTTGGGAATTATACTTTTCTCTATTCCGGACCGGTTTTTTCAGGTCCGTGAAGGCGGCAATGAAAAACGTGTTTACGCTTGTGCACTGCTGTGTCCGAGATCCGGAAAATTCATAAGGAATAAGCTTGGGAAAAATTATCGATTTGAATCGATATTTATTGTTGATTATAAAATGCTATATTTTATATGATGATTTAATATAGTTAGTATATATCACAACATATACTTTGGCAAACTCGGTATAGTTCATTTTGGTCAGCGTATGGTTCTAGTATCGATACTTAGCTAGATTTTAGAATCGTATTAAAAGTATCGATAGCTTAAGGTAAGATAAATAAGTGTTGTTACGCTTAGACGCCTAAACAACTGAAACCGTCTAAATGGAAATTAATATAGTAAATAGACTTAACTTTAAGAAAGGACATAGGTTACATTTTATTGCGAAAAATAGGGGTTGAAAGTTTGCCTGGAAATTTGTCATTATCAAATTTTTTTAGACAATTGATAAGTATAGATAAATATTTGACAACAGGAGTAATAATAAAGAATAAACAGAAGACACTCAACTCAATGACACAATGACAATGACACTCAATGTCTTTTTCGTATTTAATAAAATTTTAAACGTATGTTTGTGTCATTAATAAATTAAAAAAAAAGAAGTATTCTAAGGGAATAATATTTCTGCTCAAAGAAACTACATCACGCGTATCAAATTATGCCTATATATAATACAGTCAACTGATCTCGTAAAGTTCATTTAGCATAATAATTCTCCGCTAACACGGCACTAATTTCGATTTGTTTACGAAATGGCGCCACCGATTGGTCTATCTCTGTAATCGCTGAAAGTTGTTTTTACAAAACTTCGAAAAAAATAGCACGCTTAAAAATTTAAACATGAAGTACTAGACCATTATTGTATGTGAATAATGCTGTTCCTAAATTAGTAAGGGTATAAGTTTTTACATCTAATAGTAGTCATCCGATAGTAGTAAAAAAAAATGCTTTCGTCTTGCCATAATTTATTATGGTTTATATAAAACGATCAGACCATTATTTAGGTACCTTTCTACGTCTTCGAACGAAATTACCGACGTTCCAAAAATCTCATCGTACCTAGCGTAAGTGACGTGTAGCTTCACAGAGAGCTTCCCTACACTGCGCCGCTCCGATCAGGAAAAAAACGGACAAGTGCACAAGCTACTCATCCAAGTTTTTCATGTCATTCCGGACCGGAAAAAATAGGACCGCCGGACCTGAAAATTCAGTGTAGTGCACAAGCGCCCTTAGAGAGGCGATCTAGTGCAGTGTAATCACAACGACGCACAACCGCCCTAAATCGAGGCCGATATATTGGGTAATGTAATCGGCGCATTAATCGTATGTTTTTAAATACCTTATAAGTGTTAAAACACTATACTAAAATAGACTAAATCTCAAAAAATAACGGATTTTTAACTTATTAATTGTATCAGGCAAATAAGTTATTGTCCGTATCGAAAAGTGTATTCTTTGTATTACACTTGGATATAAATATTTTATTTCTACTATGCTACGTACAGACTGGACTACTACTGAAAGGCTAACGAAAATCAAAAGAATACTCAATAAAGAATAATATCGTATTTACTACATATTTGATAGGATTTTTGATATTGGTTATTTTGATTCGATATGTCGAACCAATTGTGACACTTCCAAATATCGATACATAAAAGAAATATGCATATCGATATTTCTTATCAAGTCTATCTATATTCAAACTAATCCAAAGGGAGTCGAGTCGATGAGCGCGGTGTTTTTTTTTATAAAAAGTTTAAAACTTTAAATAAAGTTTCCTATTCTGCAGTAAATTACTCATTTATATTACAAAATGCCAGATATAGAGAAACTTCTTAAACAAGCCGCTATGCAAATTGGGGCAGGTGGAAGTGCTGGATTTGTTGAAGTTTGTATAATGCATCCTTTGGATCTGGTGAAGACAAGATTGCAGCTCCAATCAACAAGAACTGCAGTACATCTTTCAGACCCACATTATTATAATGGAATTGTGGACTGTATGAAGAAAATGTACAAACATGAAGGCTTGACGTCGTTTTGGAAGGGTATTCTACCACCTATCCTTGCTGAAACCCCTAAGAGAGCTGTGAAGTTCTTTACTTTTGAACAATATAAACAATTTTTTATGTTTGGTTCAAGTACACCTACACCTTTAGTGAGATATTTTTTCACATTTTTATTATAATTTTACACTACTTAATTTATTGTCACTTACCATGGTTTTGACATTCATCATGTTTCCACAGTTCACATATTTTGTTAATATTTTCAGTTTTGATCCTCTTATTTTGATAATTAATTAACAATGAACACAAGTTATCTGATTACATAGCTATCATTTTCATTATATTGAAATTTAAGTTGTAGTGCAGTGACACTTTTTGTGCACAATTCTATTGCTATATTTAGGGCAGTTTATACTTTTTGTATACATCACAATGTTTTTAGACTTTTTCACTTGCTGGTCTTGGAGCTGGAGTAACAGAAGCTATTCTAGTGAATCCCTTTGAGGTGGTCAAAGTAACTCTTCAATCTAACAAGGCGTTAGCAGCTCAAGTACCTAGTACTTGGACAGTGACAAGGCAAATTGTTAGAGAAAACGGACTTGGTTCTAAAGGACTAAACAAAGGGTTGACCGCAACAATAGCAAGAAATGGTGTATTCAATATGGTCTATTTTGGATTCTATCACAGTGTAAAAGGATATATTCCAGAGAATCAAGTATGTTATAGCATGATATATTTTTTTAATAGACTTGTTTAGATTTACTATAACACTTCTTGAGAATTCACTATTGGTAGTTTGAAAGTTATTAAGGTTATGCAAATGTCATTTACTAAAAGGCAATTTACAAAAATGTCTATTGAAATAAGCATAGTGTTTTCTTATAAAAACAGTATGATATCATTATCTTTATTCTCTGCCTACTGAGGGATCAGGCTTGCAGATATGTATGTAAACTAAATCATAAGAGTCTTACTACTGGAATCAAATACTGATAAACAAGATAAGTGACATGTTCTTTATTGTAACAAAAAATAGGTAAACAACTATGTCAATATAATAAAATAAATATTGATATCAGTCATCCAAATAACTTGTTTAATAAAAAAAATTACAACTTTTTTTAATATAGATTAAAATGCATAAAGCATAGATGCTAAATACAGAAACTTATAACTCATACGTTATGTTACATTTTTAATAGAAATATAGAATAGAATGGAATGCAATAGCAAATTCTTTATTGTTAACATTACACAAGTTCTATTTGCAAATTTAAAACAGTTTAACAAATAATGTAACAATTGGTGGCCTTATCGCTTAAAGCGATTTCTTCCAGGCAACCATGGGTTCGAGAGAGAGATAACAATTTATGAAGTTTGTTTAAAAAAAGATATGACAAGTCTAGATTCCAAAACACTTATATTTCATTAATCAAAAACTAAAAAATATATATGAGCTCAATTAGAATGTGAAAGTTAGATTTTGACAAACAGCTAACACATCAGATTTCCGCAAAATTTTATATTTTCACAATTGACTTTGAATTTTACTGACAACATATTAAGGCTTCATATCAATTGATTTTGTATCACCTGACATGCTATGCTAGTTGATTGTGTATCATCATCATCGTCAGCCTTTTAATGTTCCCAATGTACAGGCTTTCCCTATGGATGGAATTGAAAATTGATTAAGAAAAACTGGCAATAAATAACCACATAGGTGCAGTGGAGATTCGTGGTTGTTAACAGCTGCAAATACAGCCTGGAGCAACAGCTTAATGGGCCTTCCTAATAATAAACTTTTTGTCACCCATCCTATGACCGGCCATTGCTAAAGTTACTTGACATCTCCATCGCAAACCACTGCAGCATTGAATTCCTCAATATAATTTCATAAGTAATAATAATTGATGTTACGGGCAATGTGTATAGACGTCACACGCCCACCACTCTGAGTGAATTTTGGATGCGCTATGAAGAATTTAAACTTTGTTGCTTAGGAATTAACGTTCACATTAACATATAGTGTAAGTTGTGTTGTGCCGGCCATTTGAACATCGCCTCGACGTTCGGTATATTTATTAGCATTTTGATACCGTAGACTGTTTACGTATTTACATTCTATATTTTAGTATAAATATCTTTAAGTAACTGAGTGCTGAAGATGATTGTTGTCAACTAAATAGTATTTCAATGTTTCAGGATCCTCTGTTAGAATTTGGCCGAAAGGTAGCAATAGGCTTTACATCTGGAGTATTAGGTTCATGTGTCAATATACCGTTTGATGTGGCCAAGAGTCGCATTCAGGGTCCGCAACCGACGCCGGGAGTCGTTAAATATTCCTCTACCATTGGTGCTATTCGTCTAGTTTATAGAGAAGAAGGGTGAGTAACAGTCTATATTACAGTAGCTGTTTTCTAGTGACGTCGCCCTCGTAAATTATAACCTATTTCACCCGCATAGGACGTAGTTTCCCGTAAGTGAAACAATTTAAAAAATCGGTCCAGTAGTTTCGGAGTCTATTTGATGCAAACAAACAATTTCTTTTTATTATTAGTATAGGTTAAGTTAAGGCATGTAGGATTGGTTATACTTACAAACCGCTGATACTAAATTGTTGAATTAAATTCTACTATATTATTTTTAGGTTATACCTACTTACGTATAATATACCTATAGTATGTAAACACATGTATCCATGTTGTTATTATGTTTTATAAGTACATGTAATTTTATAAGCCAAATTCAATCTTACGGCTATCACACAAAGCTTATTAAGTAATTCTGTTAGCAGTTTATGGATAGAAAAATATCAATAAGCTGTGCCTTAACCATAAATTTAGTTAATTTACTTCGAATAATGTCTTTTAGCATGTTTAAGAATTTGGCAAATCGCCAACTAAACCAGTGGCTTATGTGTCACCACATATATACCTCACTTAAATTCGCATTTTGAACTGGTTACATTACTTCTTCGTCTTTTTAATTAATGGCGTTTCCCTTGTTAGAAAAAAAATAAGAAGAAGTAATGTAACCACGTCTGTATATTTGATGCTATACTGTCATCAAGACGTCTTTAATATTTATAGTAAATATTACCAAACATTTTATCCTAGTTGGTTATAAAGTTCTTTATTTCAATAATTTTACAATACTTAACATTATCACAATCAACATTACATGATATTATTATCAGCATCTTATATGACTGCTTTATCTATTTCCAGCTACATTGTTTGTTTGCTCATCTTATGTAGATTATGTACTTATGCATAGTAACAACAAATTAAAACATTGCTTTTAACCATAATTTGCGAATACGTTGTTAGAAGCGTTACTATGAATATGAACCTTTTCTGATAGGTAGTTATACAAATAATATAATAATGGTATGTTACTTTAATATTTGCCTTTAAGTCCTATCACGCTCACATAATGCTCTTGTAACTCTTAAGTCTAATAGAAGGACCACATACTATCATTAAAGAGCAAAATCAACCTTCAAGTCAGGAGGAGGTCACAAAGTCGAGGGCCAATCAGTTTTTGATCGCATAAAAAATGCTTATAAACAACTTCATTTAAATATATTCATTGACTTCATATGAAATATGGGGCGACCGGATAGGCGGCCCCTGATATATTGGATATTGCCGCCCTTGCTGTCATTGGTTTAATATGTGCTGATATTCTGAGAAAGTATGATAGCTCATGAATCTGCCCTGCGATTCTGTAAAAATCCGAACCTGAATTCAAATTCACTCAGGTGCTTGGTGTTTCGAATTTACTACAAAAGCGACATCCGTTCAATCTTGAATTGGTAAATAACGTTTTGTAGCATAAGTGAAGTGAGTTTCGAAATGACATAGTAATAGAATATCTGAGGCACGTATAGACAATTAATTTTGTTTTGTATTTTTATACAAAAAATGGAATCAATAGGAGTTATACTCTAAATGTCGTGAGTTCAGCCAAATAAGTGAATTCGAATTCGGGTTCGGATTTTTTGGAATCGCTCCCCAGATCTTTGTTGTATTCATTGTGTTGTTTCTATTTTAATAATGTTTTTGAAACGGCTTAGATAACCTTGTGCTAAATGTTATGGAAAAATTATTTACATTGTCGATTGTTAATCTTTTACATAAAGTTCAAGGTACATACTGAAGACGTTTAACAAATGTGACGCACAATGTTTGGTGTGCCATGATGTTACTTGTGATTATGATTGTATATCATAATCACCAGTAACATTTCATATGATGATGTTAGGAAATCCATTATATATTTTTATTTACACATCACTTAGTGAAATTGTAGATACCGTTTCATCCCCGTACCATAGAATCTCGATATCTCAATAGTCTTTGATTTAAGACTATAATCTCGAAAGAGTTCCTCATAGAAAGTAAAAAAATCTTTAGCAGGGCGAGAGAGAGATAGATAGAGAACCACGGTAAATAGAATCTAACGTGGATGAAGATGTGCTTAACTTGTCTCTCATCAGCGCTATTCTTATTAGCTGTTAACAATTCCTATATCATTCAAATTCTCCTCTATTGGTTAAAAATATATGCTAAAAATTTTGCTTAAAAAACTAAAGATACGAGTTTTAGATTGCCTCCCAACATAGTAAAGGGTAATAGTATTTAGTAGTTTTAAAATCTATGTTAGATGACAACGCCAGTATGTTTATAATTTTCTATCCTGCCGTCAGGTAAACGTCAGTCTTTAGCTACGGAATTTGTCTAATTTGCTGGAAACACGATCCTAAATTGTACCGTGCCGAGAAAATATAACTATCGTAAAAAAATATTAGGAGAAAAATATGCACTTATTGATCTCTAAAACTTAAATGCATGTTGTGATATTCTAATTTTATACTCTTCAGGTTCCGAGCTCTTTATAAAGGGCTATTACCAAAGGTGCTTCGTTTGGGTCCAGGAGGAGCCATCATGCTTGTGGTATACGATTATGTGTATCACTTTTTAGAAAGTAAATTTGAAGTTAAGCATTAATTAGTACATTTGTGTACTCATAGTCATACGTGTCATATGGTACTAATTTTATTTGTACTATTAACCTGTCGGTTAAACGGAAATTTCCAGAACAAAACGATAGTCATTTGTAATATGTTATTTTATTTTATTTTACAATAGTAATTTTTGGTTAGATGCTTGTTAATATTTTATTGTTTCCTGTGTATTTTTAACACGTAGCAAGTAAAACGAAACCCAATTTTATATAGCATAATTAAAAAATCATTAAACTACGTTATATTTTCTTATTCTTTCAAAAATATTTTGATTTATAATATCACTCATAATCATATTTTATTTTATATTACATATTTTATTTAGACTAGTATAGTTTTAGATTATTATAATACACTCGAGTGTTAATTTTAGATAATTTGACAGAGAAAGAATATAAGAATATATTTTATTATGGTGGATATTTTTCTTTCAAGTACTTTTGTTGAGCATTTATTCTAGATAATGTATTTTAAAGTTCTATTATTATTGACCATTTAATTACAATTTTGCTAATTTACTAAAAAAATATATAGGTAAACATTAAAATATTACAAAATTATAAGAAAATATATTATACGTAGATTTTATAGTAAATATTGTTAAAGTGATTTTTTGATGATTATATACCTATTGAAAATTTTATAGTCTATTTTTTGTGTATAATAAAAAATGTGAACTCTAACTGGACCAATAAAACTATAAATATAATATTGACTGTATATTGTTAACACAGTAGACTTAATATTGTTATGTTCGTTTGTTAATGTTTCGTAATATTTTCTACTAAATTGTACTTTCGGTCAAAATTTGGAGCGCTCTTTATTGCTCCATGTTCAGAATGATCCGTGTTGTTGAAACAGTGCCACAATTTATATTTTTGTTATTGTATATGGTTGTACGTAAGATTTAATTTTACAATAAATACATTGTTTAAAAGGAATATCTTTCATTAATATAACCCCTAATTAAACAACAAAGTGATTCCGTGTCTAAAATAATCAAGTTTAAACCTAGGAATTCTCTTCTAGAGCTAGAGTGGGTGGCTTACGACCGCCCGTTTATTGCGTGGCTCCACCTGATTCAATAGGAAAAAGTTCAATCATAGCTTGAACCTTTCTTACTATGATCTGGTTCCCGAGTGCCACTCCCAACAGAAGGTATGCCCAGGGTTTATAGTGGGTAAGCCCCCGCTCCTAGCGGGAGAATCATACACCGCGTTTCATGAGATGGCAGGTATAGCGCGTAAAAATAACCTAGTGAAAGACGGCTAAATGTGGAAGTATTAAAAAAAAAACGAAAGCACTAAAAAAGCACCTTCACTAGATAGCGACTCTAGCAAAAGTTGATTTTTACAGGAAACGTATGGACCAAAGGCAGTCATTTCCGTTCCTTTTAACTAACATATTAAAAAACTGAAATTTGAAAAGTTCGAAACTTAGATATCATTACAAATACGAAAAAGTACAAATAGAATATAAGTTGTTTATTGAGTTTTGAAAACTAATTTACTTTTAAACATGAAAGAAAGCCGGAAAGGTTGTCATGGAGAAACCAAGAACGTACCGTAGCAACATCTAGTTTGATTTCGGGAACTAATGTTTTTTTTTAAATACTTCCTTATTATCAACGTTAAATTAAAAATGTTTGTTGACACGGAACATAGTAATATGAAGGGTTTTAGTGGGTAGACGTACCGCGTCCCAATAGGCGACAAGTTTAGTGCGTAAAAATAACCTATTATAGTGAAAGACACCGAAAATATCAACGATAAATAAAAAAAAAATGTTAACACGGAACACAGATGAAATAGGGAGTTTTAAACTTCCTGCAACGATTAGCTAAAATTAGGTTTAGACTAAATGGGCTTACCCATATGGTAAAAAAAAATGAAAATTAAAAAAAATGTCAGTGCGACAGTTCACTTTGAATAAGAGATGTGCCAGCCAATTCGCAATAAACACGACTACACGACTTAAAGCAAAATTCCCATAACTCAAGTGAACTGAAATAAAACCGGGTAAATTATTTTGTATTTAGCTACATTGATCTAATTTTTTTTTTGTAATCTTTAATGACCCAGTCAAGCGCTTTAGAGTTTGCCTCAATCTATTTTAAAGAGGCTCAACCTCCAACGTAGTAGTTGCGACTGTGACGGAAGAGCCAAGATATTAGATGTAGGCACCATTATTTTGAAGAGAATAAAGGGTAATTGTCTCCCTCCAAACGGTCCAACCGATGTAGGTTTTTTTTGCGCCATTTCGTTACTGGGTGTTGAGACTCTTTGTTGCGACGATGTTACTGCGCTGTGTCAGATGTCACACATTATGTATCAGTTGCAGCATATTATTTCCATTTCTACGATCTTTACATTCGAGTGTTACTTTTTAACGTGGTTAAATAAGCCGACAGACCGTCGATTATAAGGCCATTTATGCCTTTTACGATAGAACTCTGAGGATCTAGACTGTACAAACTGTGTGAGAGCATTTTGTACTGCCTCCTGGGAAGAAAACTTCTTCTCACGTAAATAATTGTCCAAATCACGAAAAAAATGATATTCCGTTGGAGCAAGCTCTGGCAAATACGGAAGATGAGGAATGGTTTCCAACTGTTCCTGAAGGGGTCAAAACGGTTTCTCGTGCTGTATGAGGTCTCGGGTTGTCATGGAGCAATAATGGTGAAGATCGATTCATGAGTCGGGGCTGCTTTACTGCTAGTTTTGCCAACATTGTTCGGATTTCGGCACAATAGACATCTGCCATTATTTCTTGACTAGATGGGAGAAAACTATAGTGAATAACACCATCCTGAGACGGTGGTCTTAGGGTTATTCACCTAACTATTACCTTTTTATTGGTAAGTTTTGCTTTAGGACACTGTTCTGGCCATTGCATTTTTCTTTAACGGTTATTTATCACAAAGAATCCACTTTTCATCACATGTCACAATTCGATCCAATATTCCTTTATTTATGTACCGATTCACAAGGCAACACAAGTTTTAACACTTGTTTCTTTTTGCAGATCAGTCTAATCATGAGGCACCCATTTTTCGTTTTTTTTTTATTGATTTGACGCAAATGAGTCAATATTGTGGATAAGGTAATGATAAACTACTTATGCCGGTAATTCCTGGGTAGTTTGATTAGGATTGGCTTCTACCATCTCTCTTAATTCATTGTTATTCACCTGTGTGGGCGGTCTTCCTCGTGGTTCGTTCTTCAAGTCGAGGTTTCCATCAGGAAAGCGTTTAAACCCAAATCGCACGGTGCGTTCATTAGCAGACCCCTCTCCAAACGCAACGTTGATATTGCGGGCTGTTTCTGCCGCGTTACTTCCGCGTCGCAACTCGTATTCAAAATTCACTAGAATTTTCAGAGTGTTGTGAATCAAACCTCATTTCACTAAATGAGAAATAAATAATAATTTTTAAATTTTATTGACAATGTCATATGCTGTTGTTTTTCTGATTCAATAAAAATGTCTTCGTAGATAAACACCTAAAGTGTTTTATTTCGTTAAAACGAGGCATAGTTTCTGCAAGAAATAAAGCCTGCAGGAATGTGAATATACCACACACAATATCCATCTTTCTTGTCTAAGTTGAATAACAAAAACAATGAAAGTCGATATTCAAATGTTTCACATTTTTAAAAGAAGAACATCATAGAAACCACGTGAAAAAAGTTTATTTCGAAAACTTAAACCATGTAGAACGGCAATTTCATACTTTAATCCCTAATAAATGAATCTGAATATTGTTTACAGTTAACATGTACATATTCTAAAACGGAGTAGAAAGAAATTTCTTCAAATTGTGACATTTGTAGGTAAATAAAGATTATAAAAGCGGGCAGAAATATTCGATCTCGAGCTATGGAGACGTCAAATCGATTTACTTAAGCTACGTCCAACTCGAGTTAACTGTAGTTGGACATCGCTAGTTTGAATACGAGTTGTGTTGTTTTTCAAAGGCAAATTGCAAAACATCGGCGATGTCATGTCAAATGTCATAAATTTTAATTAATTGTTTAGAAGACATAGAACTATCGGAAAAATATGGATCAAATGCAGACGCCACCGTCAATCCCGCACATAGTGCAAGTATATCAACCATCTACCTCTCATTCGAAGATGCAAAATTCACAAATAATCCATATAACTCATCCGTCTCTTCAGACATCAGAGGGTAAAGTGAATTATCAGCAGGCTGTAACTACAAAGTCTCTTCATTTGCCGGTTACACATGTTTCAGAAGTTTCAAGTCAGCCAATTCATATGTCACAGAATCAAATAGTAATATCTTGTCAACAAACACATTTACAAAATATTCATCAGCCACTGCAATCCCAAATGACACAGCAGGTGCTACAGGGTCCAGATATGAGTCAATCTTTGCATGTGATTTTACCTCAGGTGCCAATATTTAAGCAGCATGTACTAGTAAGTGAAGTTCAACAGCAGTATTATGGCCAGTATGAAGCATTTAATAAGGAACAGTGTAGTGTCACTAAAATGGAACCAGGCTTACATATCCAGGCTGAAAAAGAGTAAGTAAAACATTCTTCATTATTGAACAAAGTTTGCAATAAATATAATTTTTTGTGTGTCTGTTTTTAAACCATTTAGTGAGTATCAATTAAATTTATTGGTCAATCTATCTTATAGTATCTTTTAAAAGTATGACTTCATTTTTATATAAAATATTTAATAAGGTTTTGGAATCAATCCACAAGTAATAGACTTATTAGATTATTCAATGATTTCCATATCACTTGATGTTTTTACAGTGTAAATATTGACATAGGAAAGCAAATATGACCAATTTTGCTTTTGTGGGTTACTATGTGCCTGTTTTCCAGTGTTGATTTGTAGTTTTTGATAACATTATTGATTATGTTTAACATTATATATCTGATTCCAGGTGTAAGCCAGAAATCCCAAATAATAAGTCTGCGGAAATTGAAATCTCTCCAGTATATAAAAAACGTAACAGGAGTCTTAAGCCTAATCCTGGCACATGGGCCTGTAATATTCGCAAATTCAAACATCAGAGAGGAGAAGCTTACATTAGTCGTAGGGGGAAATTTGTACCAGAAAGATGTGTTCGTAATACTAAAGACTGTTTAAAGTCTTGCAAGTACAGATGCAGTGAGAGGATAAGTGATACAGATCGAGAGCACATATTTAAAGCATTTTACTCTTTGAATGCTAATGAGAAGAAACATTTTTTACTAAATACCACTGAAAGAAATGATGTGAAGCACAAATCACCTGATGAGAACCATAAGAGACGACATGCCTTTAAGTATTTTTTCTTAGTTCGAGCTGTTCGGCATACAGTTTGTAAAAACTTTTATCTAGGTACACTGGCAATATCACAAAAACCTGTTTATAACGTCCACTTAGGCAAGTCTGAGATGAATATTCCTAAACCTGATGGCAGAGGTCTATCTGAAGCTAGTACACATTCTTTACCGTCAGAAGTAAAAGATGGTGTAAGGAAACATATAATGTCTTTTAATACTGAGGACTCAAAATCGGTAAAGCGATTCTCAAAGAAAAAGCAATATTTGGAACCTAATTTAAGTATAAAACAAATGTATACAATGTATTTAAATGATTGTAATAAGGATAGTGTGCTGCCAGTGAAGGAATCTATGTACAGAAAAATCTTTAAACAAGAATTTAATTTACACTTTAGGAAAGTTAAACAAGAGCTACAGTTGTGTTGTAAATGTAAAGGAGTTATTAAAAAGAAATTATAGATTTATTATATAATGCAATACACAGAGGAGCATATCAGGGTTATCACAAAATATCAAATTTCTACAATCAGTTTAGATATTATTTTTCAACTTGGCTTTTATTGTATGACTTATAAATGTAATTGGCTACTCGTATAGTTATAAGAATAAACTATAAAATATGTTGTAAATGGTAACTTTGTAAATAATAAAAATGTAGTAACTTTGTTTGAAAACGAATTGTAAGTATATGTATTTTATTATTGCTAAATTAACTTGAGATTTATAATCTGTGGATTACAAGAACTGAAACACTTACAGCCATATCAGAGAATCGTGTGACATTCAATAAACTATATGTTTAATAATTTTGTTGCAAGTTTATTGAAACGTTATGTTATTGCTTTTGTGGGACAATTCAAATTATAAAAAACAAGATTCTCCTTTTTTTTAATAGCACTTTTGGAGAAAAATAATTCTTATAGTGGTTTAATATGATAATAAAGTTTTAAAATACTTTTCCTAAAACAGTTGAGCAGTCAATTTTATGAATAGTTTATATACATTAGAAATTTGAGTCTTGTGACCGATAACCTGATTTGTCGCTGTGTGTTGGTAAAATTTTTTTTTCATAACGTGTAAAGAGAATTATTATTGTTATATTTGATCAATTGTGCATTAACAACACAACACAGAAAAATATATCCATTAAAAAAAGCTTAAAAAATTCACTTTGTCCCTGGCAGTCTGAGATAGGACTCGAACCCATGACTTCTTGCAATCCAGGCGGTTGCTCACCCATCTCTATAGTACCTGGGGTTGGTGAATTTTTTAAGTATTTTTCATATGTAACAAAAATTTTTGTTTATTTGTAAATATCATTTAATTTTAATTTATATACTCAGTTTGAGTATATATGATTTACTTAAATAATAATTAAACAAATATGCAATATTTGTTTAATTATTATTTAATAGAAGTACCTTTGTACTGTTATAATTTGGCTTTTGAGCTACCTTTTACATAAAATATTTTTATATCTAAGTAATGTTTATTTTAGAATATTTTCTTTGGTTAATACTGAAATTTAAAGATTTAGAGATTGTTTTTCTCCCTAAATCTTGTAAAAACAATAATAAGATGATTGTCAAAGTATTAATATTTTAAAGCAGGGGTTCCAAAACTTTTAAGATAATGAAATACGCATCTAATAAAATCTAAAACTAATAAAATGCGCTGTGAAGTACGGATGATGTATAAAAATCCAGATAACACCCATTTTTGTGATTAATTAAATTTTGTACTTTTCCAGTGATATTTTTATGAGAAATAAAATTTGATATAACAAATATTTAATGTATTTAGTTTTTAATATCTCTCGCTCTCTTTCCCTAACTCAAGATATTATAACCAATTTTCTGCACTAGATAGCGACACAGTTAGGAATGTTTGGAGCGTTTGGTTACTATGTTTGAAAGACTAAACTATGTTGGAGATAACGACGTGCCTAGAGCTGTACTTTTGATAACATATTCTAAGGCGTCTGTTTTCTAGTAATTAATTTTTATTCATACATTCAAAAGTGAATTAAAATATTACTAATTACGACGGATTAATGAAATTTAAACGGATCTGGCAGGCCTGTCTGCAGACTTGCCCGCGAGCATGCCTGTCTAGTGAATTCCCCGCTTTAGTTAAAAGAAGACTGATTATAAATTTAATCATACGTTATATCATTATTGGATTTAGAAGGTCTGCTGCTTTACCCTACTGTAACTTGTGCATGCATTTCATTCAAATCAATGTCAAAATAACTAAGGCCAACGAAGATTTACGACGTGACGGCCCAAGACCCAAGTGTTGCTATAGCTATAACAATAAACAAATCAATAGGACCGAGGAACAGTGGTGTAGTAGAAGGCGGCTCTTCGCAAACTTTATGACCACCTCAGTCGGGCGGCAGATTACGCGCAGGAGCAGTATCCTAACGCAGAACTTGGATATCTACCAAAGTGCCGCGAATCGAGCCCCCTCAACCTCCGAGGACTCGACGACGCGTATGGCACTATGGCTCAGCGGATTGGGACGGCATGCGCGAGTACCTTGCATCCGTTCCTTGGAAGCAGCGCTGCTTTTGTGAGAAGGATCCGACAACGAGCGCCGTTGCTATTATTGAGGAGATCGGTATTGCTATGGAATACTACATTCCGCACTCCAATCTGATCAGTATGGGCAAACACAACCGCTGGTTCAATCGCGATTGTGCTAACGCTGTTGCGTCTAAACAGCTGGCATATCGAGCTTGGATCAGGGATCGTGCTCGGAGGGATCCCGATATTGACTCAATAAAAGCGGCCTACAATCAGGCTTCCAAGTCCTGTAAGAGGGCTTACATCAGAGCGGATGCCCAGCGCGTCGCACGTATTGGCCATGAGTTAGTTACGCACCCTACGGGCTCCCGTAGCTACTGGCGTCTCGTCAAGGCCGTGCAAAACAATTTCTGCCAGCCCTCGCTGCCACCGCTTCGATGTCCAGATGGAACATTAGTTCACAAGCCGCAGGAGAAAGCCGACCTCTTGGCAAGCCTCTTCGCGGCTAATTCCCAAATCGATGACTGTAATGCACTCCCACCAACGATACCTTCTTGTGGCTTCACTATGCCTGATATTCATATCAGGCAGCGTGATGTGCGTGCGGAACTACAGTCACTCGATGTCCGGAAAGCTAGTGGTCCTGATGGCATACCTGCGGTTGTTATAAAAATGTGTGCAGCGGAGTTGACTCCCGTACTTACGCGCCTATATCAGCTATCTCTTTCTTCGGGTCGTGTACCTGAGGCTTGGAGAGAGGCCATTGTGCAGCCAGTGCCCAAAAAGGGAGATCCGTCAGACCCTGCAAACTACCGCCCTATAGCTATCACCTCTGTGCTGTGTAAAGTCATGGAAAGGATTATTAACTCCCAACTGATCCGATACCTAGAAGATCACTCCCTTGTAAATGATCGTCAGTATGGCTTTAGACCAAAACGATCAACGGGTGATCTTCTAGCGCACGTCATGCACCTCTGGGGTGAAGCTATAGACAAGCGCGGCGAGTCCTTGGCTGTCAGTCTTGACATTGCTAAGGCATTTGACAGGGTTTGGCCGTTCAACTATGCGCCTGGATAGCCGACTTCCTGCGTGAGCGTAAAATCCGTGTTCTTTCTGACGGATGCTCTTCGCAGCTTAGGACAGTCAATTCCGATGTGCCTCAGGGCTCCGTTCTATCCCCTACACTTTTTCTGCTGCATATCAATGACATGCTTCCACTTGGAAATATCCATTGCTATGCAGACGACAGCAAAGTGCATGTGGGATATCACGGGGCTCCTACGGTCGGACGGGCGGATATCCTGGAGAAAAGAGAGAATCTTGTCATTGAGCTCAATCACGTTCTGGATCTCATATCGAAATGGGGTGCTGAAAACCTGGTTGAGTTCAATGCCAAGAAAACTCAGGTCTGCGTATTTACCGCCAAGACCCCCCCATTCCCTTCCCTTCCCTCTCTTCAGGGCACAACCTTGCCTCTACAGAGCAGCATCAACATGCTCGGGATGGAAGTGCGCTGTGATCTGAATCCCAAAAACCACATCGAGTCTGTAATTAAAACTGCATCACGTAAACTCGGTGTCCTGAACAAGGTGCGGCGTTTTTTCACGCCCGAACAACTGTGCCTGCTATACAAAACGCAGGTCCCGTCATGCGTGGAGTATTGCTCGCACCTTTGGGATGGCTCCGCTAGGTACTTACTCGATGCTTTGGATAGATTGCAGCGCCGCGCAGTACGCATTATTGGCAATGGTGAAGTCACCAAGAACCTAGAAAGCCTGCAACTGCGCCGAGACGTTGCTTCGCTCAGCGTCTTCTACCGTCTCTACCATGGTGAATGCTCTGAAGAACTCTTTTCCCTTATCCCCCCATCTCTCTTCTTCCTCAGGACCACACGTGCTGGTTTGCGTTGCCACCAACTAACTGTGGCAACGATTCCTTCGCGTACAAAGAAATTTGGCGACTCATTTCTTTGTCGTACTTCCAAAAAATGGAATTGTCTCCCGGCCCATGTATTCCCTCCATCCTATGACATGGGGTCCTTCAAGCGGGGCGTGAAGAAGCATCTTGCAGGTCGGCAAGGTGAGGTTGGCTAGTGCAGTACCTACGTACTGTTTTACACTAGCTGTCCTCGCGTCTGGACTGCGCCTCCACTTACCATCAGGGAGCGCAGTCATTTGCCCTCCATTTTATATAAAAAAAAAAAACCGATTTCGTGCTAAAAAGGGCCTTGCGGGGCGATTTTGACTCTACTTCAAAGAGCTGTACGGAGGAATTTACCATGATAAAGGTGTGATTCTTTGAGTCGCGGCAGACGGTAGCAGTAGTTTGTGAAATGACGGCATGTGACGCTACGGCGGAGGCATTACTATTAGTATTAATTTATATGATACCAATTCAGAGATCGACCGCAACAGACGCAAACAGGCATGTTGACAGATGAAGAGAGAGCATTCATTAATTTTGTGTGTAAACATCCCATTCTATTTGTTTGCAAAAATACCAATTAGGTAGAAAAATGTACGTACACTATTAAAGAAAATATTTAGAAAGAGACAACGTTTTCTTCTCCCAATAAAACTTTCAAGATTTGTTTTATTATTACTGTGTATGAAAAACACAACCGTAAGTTAGTAATGCTGCGTAGTACCTGTAGTGTTTGCTGCCAATTTCGAAATCACTACAATTGCAATTGAGACCCGACGACATTATTCTTTTACAGTGCTATTAATAAACAAGGTTTAGCGTCAGAGTAAATTTACGTTAAATTTGCAATTTTAGTATTAGTCGAAATTCATATTATACAGACTCCCGTAGATCCTCGTGCTAAGTTAACCTTTGTTAAGTCTCTGTTTAATAATATGAATTTTGACTAACACTGAGTGCAGTCCCAGTGTAAATTTACTCCAAAACCTTGTTTAGAAACTAGACCTTGTTTAGAATCACTGACGGAATCAAATTAGAGCTTTTGGTGTGCGGAAAAATTCACTTAATCAAATAAAATCATATCTTTCTGCTAGAATACAAAAAGTAGTAATTGATGAAACGTAATCAGCAGGGGCACCCATTACTATGGGCGTACCTCGGGGATCGGTATTAGGACCATTGCTTTTTCTAATTTACATTAATGATCTTCCTCACTTTATGAAGAATATGTGCGAGATAGTATTATTTGCTGATGACATCTCTTTAGTGTTTAAAGTTAAGAGGGGTAATGACAATCTCGATAAAGTTCTACAGTGGTTCTAATTTTAGTATTAGTCGAAATTCATATTATACAGACTCCCGTAGATCCTCGTGCTAAGTTAACCTTTGTTAAGTCTCTGTTTAATAATATGAATTTTGACTAACACTGAGTGCAGTCCCAGTGTAAATTTACTCCAAAACCTTGTTTAGAAACTAGACCTTGTTTAGAATCACTGACGGAATCAAATTAGAGCTTTTGGTGTGCGGAAAAATTCACTTAATCAAATAAAATCATATCTTTCTGCTAGAATACAAAAAGTAGTAATTGATGAAACGTAATCAGCAGGGGCACCCATTACTATGGGCGTACCTCGGGGATCGGTATTAGGACCATTGCTTTTTCTAATTTACATTAATGATCTTCCTCACTTTATGAAGAATATGTGCGAGATAGTATTATTTGCTGATGACATCTCTTTAGTGTTTAAAGTTAAGAGGGGTAATGACAATCTCGATAAAGTTCTACAGTGGTGATAATAATAATTTAAAGCTTCATTCAAATAAAACGGAATGCATAAAGTTTGCATTACCTAACGTGAGGCATGTTAGTACACTTATACTATATATGTAAATAGTGAAAGAGTTGAGTTGGTGGAATCGACAAAGTTCCTTGGTATTACACTAGATTCCCGACTGCAATGGGATCCTCATATTGATAACTTGTCAAATAGACTGAGTTCTGCAGCATTTGCTATTAAGAAAATCAGACTCTTGACAAATGTTGAAACTGCATGATTGGTATATTTTAGTTATTTTCATAGTGTAATGACTTATGGTCTATTGTTGTGGGGTTCTGCGGCTAGCATTTAAGATATTTTTATTCTATAAAAGAGAGTTGTCCGCGCTATATATAATTTACGGTCTAGGGAATCTCTCAGAGAAATATTTAAAGAAATAAATATTTTGACTGTTGCCTCATAATACATCTATGAAAATATTATATACGCAAGAAAACATTGCGATTCCTTCACAAAAAAAGTAGTGTTCATAATCTGAACACAAGAAATAAAAATAAACTTGCCGTTCCAAGCTTCAGACTTCAGAAAACTAGAGGGTCATTTCTGGGTAAATGCATTTCTATGTTCAATAAAGTTCCACAAAATGTAATTGACCTACCCATAAATAAGTTAAAAATTCATGTAAAGAACATACTTATGAGTAAAGGTTATTTCGAGGACCGCAATGCATGGAATTAATAGCCTTCGCTTTGTTCTATAACGACTAATTATGTGTACAAACTATGTATGACCTACAGACTTTGAAAGTTGTGTTTATTATTGTGATAATACATATTATTTTGGTAATTACATGATCTTGTAAATGTAATTACTTATGATAAAGAGCTGGTAAGTTTCTTTCGCTTGTTCTTCTTCTCAGCTAAAAGACGTCCTGAACAAGTGATAGGGGAAAAATTTTTTTTTGGACGATTCGAAAGTGTTACAAACAAAGCTTACTTGAATAAAAATATTTTCATTTCAGTAATAACACTGTTAAAGTGTAATGTATTGGGTCCCGACAGATGGCAGCAGCATGCAGTGACGGCATATAACGCAACGGCAGACGGCAATATATTGTAGTACCTATTCTTTGTATGAGACCGATGGCAACCTGTCCCGCCTCTGCCTCTGTCCCAACACCCTCAGATTAGGGACTGGTCCACGCTACGCCACTAAAGAACGGAATATGGAATAAATAAGGAATAACTACAAGCAATTTTAGGTAATATTTTTAATGAAACTTACAAATTACAAAATAAATATAAAAAAAAAATCTTAGCTTTGGTCACCGTATTCGGTAGGTTTCATCCATCCTATATTACAAAAAATACATACCACAGATAATATGCTTTTATTACTGTTTTTTACCTATCAATATTTTTAACATAAAACCTACCCGCAAATATGAAAAGTTGATAAGCCTTATCAATTTAAAACACAGTTTTGATAATACAGTGTAAACTCTTTATAACGAAACCGAACATTTGTAATCATTATAGAGAGTTATCGTTATATGGAATAAACAAATAAAGTAGTTAAACAAAAAGAGCTTTTCTTTTACTGGCCATGTTAAACAGTTTCATAGTTGGTACGGCTGATAATACGATAGTTACCCAGTATGAATGGTTGAAGACCATCACTTCCAAGAAAACATAGCGGCATGTTGCACTTGTTCAAGAAATTGAGAATAACATAAGCGCTATACGGAGTTTCTGCCCAGTTGAAAAAAAAATCCTAGTTTTCAATATGGGTTTCACGCAAACCAATCAAGTTGGGTTCATTTCATTTCTACTTTATAAGGACTTTATTATATTATTTATATAAATGATAACGTTATAAAGAGTTTACACTGTACATATATTTGACTGATTCTAATAAAATAAAATGAGTAATGACACTTGTCAACTGCACCTCTGGTTATACAAATCAAATTTCTTCATTCAATTTTAAACATTAATTCATTGGCGGTAGAGTTGAATATCATTTGTTGATCCTTTAATATATTGTAGTAAATTAACGTGCTGCGGTGTGTGCCTATTATTGACACTGGATCACTATTCTTTTTTAGTTTGTAACACGAATGTGTCATATAACAACTCGGCAACGACAGAATTACGCTTATGAATATTTGCATTATCAACATCTAATACAATTTCGGATGCACATCCATTATGTCTCACATCCATTATGTCTACGCATATGAACTCTGTCTCCGCTTAATATCACCGTTTACCAAAATGTATCAAAATATAATCCGTAACTGATTAATTTAAACTGGATTTCTGTTATCATTTCGTACGTCAGTGGATTCGCGCCGGAATGAGAATGCAAACAAGATCTTCACCGGACTCCGTCTTAAGCTCCCATTTTACATCCACCTTTACTTTAGGATAGGATTTCAGGACGGGTAACGTAGTCTTGTAGTAAGCTTCTTGGTTAGCCTGAAAAACGTTAAAAATCAGTTATACTAATATCCATTTACACTAATTTCATCACATAAACTAATTTTAGCTAATGCACTAATTCTATTTTTGTAATGGCGTGAAATCAATAATTTCATAAAAAAATATGCGTATGATGAAAAACTATTATGGTGTCGTAAAACTAATGAATGCATAGTGAAATTGGACATGTACACGCAAAATTGCAAGTGAAATTAATGCTTTGTAACTATCAGTTTCAACAGTACTACAGTCTACAGTATCGTAATGTAAATTCAGCTTTACACGGACATATAATAACAGTGACAAATTTAATAGTAAACAATTGTTACTATGGTAACGTCTTAATTCCCTATAGAAACTTCCACTCCCATTTTCATTCCTTCATTTGCTGTTTTTCTGGATAAAATATAGCCTATGTACACCGCATTTGATGTAGCTTGTCGTAGGTGAAAGTTTAAAAATCGTTCCAGTAGTTTCGGAGGTTATACTTCGCAAACAAACAAACAATAAAATCTTTCCTCCATATAATATTAGTATATCTAAAATTTTGTGTTGAAATTTTATAATTAAATAGAATTTAGTACGGACGAATAAAGTATTAGTAAAAATCTAAATTCATATTAATAAATAAAGAGAGACTAAGCTAAGTTTAAACTAATACGGGAGCAATAATGAATCCTATATAAGTAGGCTTGCTCAGTCTTACGCCCGGTTTCTGAATTGAGAATTTGAAGTTGAGCACGTCTCAAACCGTGCTTAAGCCACTTTAAATGTCATTAAAACATGTTTTCATTGCTGATTTATAAATTTTTAATTATCAGTTGATAGCAATTTGGTAAATCTAATACTTTTTCCATATGAAATGGAAAAAAAACTTAATTTTTTAAGAATAATCAGTTGAGATTTCGTACTTTCTCAATTCAGAAACCGGCCGTTAATCGAATAATATGAAATTTAACTAAGTGCAATCTTACTGCTGAGGACAATTAAATGTAATTTATATGAATTATTACTATCGTAATAATAATCACCTTTAAGGGGCATGAGAGTCCGTTGTCCTTGCAGGCATCAGGCTGTGGTAGAGGGAACGGCACCGGAAGATTCATAATCACACCGTGTACTTCTGTCTCTATATCTTTCACATCAAGAGCTGTAAAAAACAACTTTATTGTTACTAAGTATATTAGACCAATTTTGCATTTGCAATTACCAGTCCCAGGTGCTAGAAATGAGATTTCACCTGGTACTGGTTATAATAACCCTAAACATAGACTTAGAGCCCTAAGTATTACAAATACAAACAGATTTACTACGCGGCCCCATACAAATTGACTTCGGACGGTCGGTGCAGCTCATTTTGTAGTAATTCGGCAGTTCTATTAATAGAATAGAATAATAAATTTGTGCTTAAAAATTATGATATTATGAATATATTCCTTATGAAGTAATAAATATTCAGGTACATGTTCAATAGTATTATTGTAGATAGGAGAATGTCATAGTTAACTTATAGCTATTTTCGAAATTTTATGATAATATGTTACAAGATTTTTTCAATATATAATCAACGATATTTCATAATTTCGAGGCCGCTACGAAGTATATACAAAGAGATAAAATTCAATTTTTTAATTCCATTTGTTTAGTCCTGAAAAAACTGCCATCGCGCATTTTATGCAAATCTTTCAAAAATTAAGCGCAGCTTGCAAAATATAAAGCCGCTTCGAACTATGCCAACAGTTATTCTGCACTATTCAGTAAGTCAAAATCAGTAATATTATTTATTCTGAGATTAAGATCGCGAAAATTTACCATTTTAAGCAAAAATTAGTCAAAATGTAATAAGACCCTTATATAACTAACTAAAGTTAACCACGCTCTACTATGGCTTTTCCTGCAGACCAGCATTTTTGAAACTCGGGCTGGGATCCAAAATCTAGTTGGCATGGAACACAACGCTGTCGTGGCATTAGAGGTTAATATAATTAAAACTATTACCTTTCGAAGTTCGTGTTATACGATTGAACCTTTAATGCTATGACAGCGCTGCACATTTTAACCTTAAATTACCAAAAATAAAATTCATAATCATTTGAGGAGAATTATAAAAATGTGTTTTGAGTTTATATGACAACAAATGTAAGGCATAACTTATTTTACTAAGCATTGTATTAGGAAATGACCTCTAATGTTATCAGAACTATAAAAGGGTATTAGCGGTTAATGAACTAGATTTTAAATACAGGACCTAGTCGAATTGCGTGTGTATTAAATGATAGTATTTAATAATTATGTTTTATTACATTCCAAATTCTCACTAAACTAAAAAAATACCTACACCAAAAATAACGGTGTTGAGTTTAACCTTGATATAATAATTCTATGACCCTACTATGATACTAAAAACCTATATATATTATATCTACGCTACTATAACTACTATACTAGTTATGATAGGTATTTTGTTTTATAAAACTGTTTCATAAATAGATAGTTATTAATATAATATATACTTACATGGTGTAAAATCAATGCAGATAGTAGCGTTTGAATTCCTCTTCAAGATGCATTCTTTAGAATTCGGCTCACAGCCACTTACGCTTACGTTTTGCACTGTCGCCAATTTTGATCCTGAGAAAAGGACAGCAAACTTCTTATAGAACTCTTACGAATGTTTTTAAGAAATAACTTTTATTTTTTTTTATTACCGCAAAAACTAATACAGTCAATAAACAAATATAAACTTATTGTTATCTATACTAATTTTATAAAGAGGAATGGTTTGATTGTTTGTTTGCATTGAGTAGATTCCGATCAGAAACTACTTTATTATCATACTCTGAGGACATAGTTTATAATGTTCGCAAACTTTTTTTAGGCCATCCTTTAATAATAAATCTAATTGTTTTTTCAGGATTAAAACTTTACAGAAATGACGTAATCTGTATACCTGTAATTTTATTTTAAAGATACAAATGTAAAAATTGTAATTTTGAAATTTTTACATTTGTATCTTTAATCGAGAGAAGTAATTTCTTGAGAAAATGTCATAAGTTATATACGAGTATTTTAATGAAGTACTAAGATTAGAGCCAGTAAGATTACATTTCTATTTTCTAAAGCCAGTAGATAGAATATAAATTATTTTTTGAATTAGATCACTTGTTAATTTTTCAAGTGATCTAATTTTTTTTCGATATTAGTGAACTTATTTTCATGATGTGTTGTTGTAAAGAACCTAATGCAGTAATAATGTAACTATATATTTTATCCTTGCTGCCAAAGGAGTTTTCTTATTATGAGATAGTAAACGGAAATATTTTATTACACAGCGTACATGTACGCTTTTTACAGTGTATTAGTGGATTTTATCATCCCGCGGGGAAATGGTGAGATTCTTTGTATCTCTCACATGATTTTTTTATGTTGCCTACCTGCTTTTTTATATTTATTTTCTAGAAATTAAATATCTGGGTTAATGAACTTAAAATACCTTATTCAAACGTTTTCATATTTGTGTTTATGAAAATTAATTTCTTGTTTGCTTTCCAAAGTGGGAGTCAGACGTTCGTAATGCTTTATTTCTATAAGGTCTTCTTGGACTATAATGCCGAGGGAAACTTAGTCGGATAGCAAGCTAGAAATCATTAGTTAGTTGCATAAATTAAGCCTTTATGCACATGGTTTTAAGAGCTACATACTCCTGGACTATAGACCATGGACATAATATTTAAGTACTTGATATTTATGTTTCAAAACATATTTGATTCGATTCCAGAATAATTAAAACTCACCTATTCAGAATATTTTTTTATGTATTATTATTTTTATATAGAAATTGTATAATATAAATACTTGTATTATATGAATAGTTTTACATGGATTTGATTTTATAAATAATAGCCCCTAAGAGCTTTTTTTGTAAGTAGGATAGATGGAATAGTTTTATGTTTTTTTCGTGTTTTGTTTTAATTTAAGAGTAGACACGAAAAGGTAAATACGAAATCCTTGTCAACTGTCAAGACCCTTTTCTCTTACTTTTTACTCTTATGAAGTCCAAACATCTATTAGTACAAAACTGTAGTATAATTTAAGTAGATAAAGTTATTTAGGATAATCTTGTCACTACAGTTTATATAGCTTATTAGGGTTGCTTATGGATGCTATATGTGTCGATTTTGCCAGGACAATCCCAATTTCAGTTCATCTTATGCAGTCAATTCAGTTGTGATATCGACTTTTGTTCCCACTTCGACTACTTAATTTATTATCAGACCCAAATACGACAAACATAACAGAAATGGTATTAATAATGACTTCAGCTATAATCTGTGAATTTGTGATATAGCTCAGTTCTTTGCTACAATATTAAACTCAATCTTTAAAAAAAACTATATATTTATGAGGATGCGAAAGCAAACGAAGTTTTTGCAGTGGTGTGTTTGTTCGAAATTCGATCAGGCTCTAGGAAATAGAAATATAACCTAACTGGCATCCGTATCTGTGGTTGATAGAGTATGTCATAACTTAAGCTGATATAACAATATTTCATTAAAAAAAACTTATTTATCAAGATGAAAAAGCGTGGAAAGTAAGTTTTTGCGGTGGCATGTGATCGAAATTCGAACAGCAGCAGCGAACGCTCTCCCGACTTCCTATTATTTTGTCCCGATTTCTGATAAGCTCAATTCGACAGTGGCGTGGAGTTGGCATGTGGACATTATTTTTACCAATACTCCTATTCTTTCCTTATCCCGATCTGTTAATAAGTCTAAAAAACACGCTCGTTTTTCTCGTCCGTGTAAATTTTTTTTTGTATTTTTACCGTCCCTTTGATATCTTATTTGGGTTGATATCCTATAGCTTCAGAGTGTCCTGATTGACCGTTCGATTGTCCCGAGTTATGTAATATCAACGATCAACAGTCTAGTAGGAATCGATCTGTCCAGTCCTAAACTAATCCTGATTGGTCCACTGACAGATTATTCAGGCCTTTATTTGAGCGGATCAATCTGGGCTTCATTTTGACAGATCCACTGGTACCGAATTGATAAAAACGGAATTTTAATTTGCGCAAATTGTAATGACAACTGGCAGTTTCATATAAAAATAGCCTTTGTGTTTGTGAACGAACCTTGAAGCTTTTTTTATGTGAAAGATTAACTACCTACCTATTGTAAAAACGTATTTTTCCGATTTGAGTTGCTGCGTTGAACAAAATGTCATTATAATTTGAGTAGGTAAAAAAATTGCCATCATTTGGAAATATGTATGTTTATCACAAATATTCATTTATAAACAAATTATTATAGAAACAAATCATATAATCTATAAAAAAATATTTATTCACCAATAAACAAAGCATAACAGTTATGATAATATTAATCAAATCAAAACATGCTTTATTCTTATTACATAATAACTTAATAAGGCTTATTTGACAAATTAATCGGACTTATATTTTTACCTTTTTATACAGAAATAGATACTAATGATACAATTACGGAATCAGTTGTGAATAGCTGTATATAAAACAAGAACAAAAAAGAAGATAAAAAATAACACTAAGGCAATTACAACACAAATAAACAATGTGTTCTTATCCTAAATAAGAAAAAGTCTTTTTACCTGTTAATTAAAAAAAGAAATATCTTAAATTCTGTTGTCGACCTTGCGGTACTTTACTCATGGTGAAGTTGCCAAACACCGTCTCACGGTTTCCTTATGAAGAAAACAGAAATTTTCGTGTTTCCTTTCTCAAGTTTCTTTTTAGTTATACTTAAATAATGAAATTTCACGCAATCTTTTGTCGTTACCCGGAATAAACTTTTATGGCATTAAAAACGGTGGAAATTTTCCGTACCTACGGTTTGTTGCACGTGTCTTTTTGAAATTACCAAATAGGAAAATTTGAAATTTAGCTCCGACAAAAAATGTTTTGATGACAGCTTTACCAACCTTATTTTTCAGATACGTGTTATTATATATTTTTATAATTTGAATTTTTATGACTTTTATTGTTAATTGTTGTTATATATCGTATGTTATGTTTGTACGTATATAAAAATCTAACTTTCCCTTGGTTTTATAATTTTAAATTTAATTTCTACAGTTAGTTCTGTAGGCCTTTTTGCTAACTTAACTGATAGTTTAAGTCGTAATCACCGTGAAAAGTAAACAATTCAAATACCTATGTCAAAATCTCTTATTGAATTATTTCTTGTTATAGAGTTCTGTGAAAAATTTATTTTGATTGTCTTCAGAGTAACAGAATAAGGGGTACTATCGACAACGATACGTAAATCATCACTAAGATTGGTTGATGTCAGTTATTGCGTCTGATCGTTGGTTCAAATAGGTACTCAAATATAACAACGATATTAGGGGAAAATGTTTTAAAAATTCACCAGTCCTAAGTTCTAATTTAAAGCTGATAAATATCAATATGGTATTGTAAATATAAAAAAAAAAAATTTTTATTATATTTGAAATGCAAAATTTAAATAGTTAATTAACTCTTCCATTGTATAGCGCTTTGTGATTACCCATATGTGAGTGATGGCCTTAGACAGAGGGTGTGTGTGGGTTCACCATTAATTTTATTATATTTCAGTTAACTACTTACTGTATTGTATTTTTTAACATTAACACAGATTTATCTTTTTCTTTATATTTTTATTACTAGCTTTCTGTCAGCGGTCTCGCCCGAGTGGTCCTTAGAGAGCTATTTAGTGGGATAAAAAGTAGTTTAAAATGTAATTTATTTATTTAGATAAGGTTTCATACATATGATTACAATGATAAATTGAACAGAAAATAATGGTTACTATGGTAACGTTTTAACTGTATATTAAACTTCGACTTTCATTTGCATCCCTATATTTGGTGTTTTTCGGGACAAAATATAGCCTATCTTCACCGCATATGATGCCGCTTACCGTAGATGAAAGAATTTTTAAAATCGCTCCAGTGAAACTACTGGACTGATTGTATAAATTATTATTCGTTGCAAACAAATCAAAATCAAATCTTTCCTTTTCATATTACTTGTAAAGATAAAGATATAGATTTGTTAGTTAAACCTATGTTTTTAAGTACTAAAACAAAGAAAATGAAGCTTTAAAATTTATGCCCCAGTCTCGAATCGCTATTCAAATACAATTTCAATTAAAATTTAAGAGTTTTGAACATTTGTATTACGATTCAATAGCTAGACAATCGTGGAAATCCTTTCAATTTCTATTTGTTTAGAGTTAAACTTCAATAATTATTCGGGAGGAATGTCGCGTGGGTTATCAACAGTGGTCGGAATTAGGTAGAGTTATTTATGTACTTACACTGATTTCATACAGCGAAAGAATAAAATGGATATGCCTCAAATCCTGAGATTAATTTTAAAGAGCAGAAAAAAATCCCGTGATTATTTAAATAAAAGTTTTTTACTTTTACACAATTTAAACTACTGCACGCACGACGTTGCCAAACTTTCATCAATAAAAGAAAGAAAAAAGAAATAAAGAAATCCCGGGAAGGTCCACATTAATATCAACATTTCGATGCAAGTACATGAATAACTCTACCTAATTCCGACCTCTGGTTATCAATCATCGGGGTCAATAAAATATCGTGATTACCCACGTCTTACAATAACTCTTTTATTTGCCTATAAAGACATCATAATGATGATAAAGAAAAATAAATGACATTTCTGTAAAAGTAGCCAAGTTTTCATTTATCAAATTTTGACTTTGTTGTCTTAGTTTGTATTATAGTTATAGATAGCATTTATAGGCTCATTTTATTTTATTGACTTCCAAATCTGTTGTCTGGGTTATTTTTGTTATCACAGAAAAAAACAATTTAAAATTGAAGCTTCATAACAAAAGTAGTTATAAGATTTTGATTCTATTCATATTTTATTAAATCCTAATCGAATTATAGCTTTAAAATTGTAATTTATTAGTATTATTATTTGCGTACATATTAATGAATTTTAAGTAAGTACTTTTTTAAAACACTATTTTAAATAGCAATAAATCTGCAATCTCGTATGTGCTATGGATAATATAAATTATGATTTTGGAATTAATTTTCATTTCGATCTTACATGGAGTATATGCTTTTGGCAGAATATACGTTACGAACATTTGGAATAACAGCAATTATGTCTATATAAATAACGCAATTAATTACATGACGCTCTGAGAATTGCCTTTGTGTTATTTATAATTATCTACCTAATATGATTCTATTTAGAGCATCATCAACTCTTGTATTTTTGAAAATTAGTTGGCTAATTTTTCATACATTTAAAAGACGTTATTGTATACATATAGATATCATCTGTAATTACGAAAATTATTTATTTTTTTAGTTTTTAGCATTAGGTTATTCTACTATTTATGTCAGTTATGCACAAATATACAAAAAGTATTTATAGTTAAACGTATTTATACTTGAGCATGAACGTTGAAGATTAGATTTACTTAAATATTTCGACACTCACACCAAATATTAAGTATAAAATGTAAACACATATAAATATGAATTTTACTGGACGACATTGCTAAATCAGATCAGCAGTTTTCAAATTAGTTATGACAACAAACGGTTTTATGGTCATCTGAATAAAATAAAACGCTAGTTAATGGATAATTCAATAAAAAAAAATTAAACTATGTCTTTTATAAATTACAATAAACATATGCATATACAAATCATAAAATAGAGTTGGAACAAAAACACATGTATTTTTACTTTCAGAAGGCATACATAAAAATAAATTCGGAAACGGCATCTAAATGGGCTCTTCTTTATTTATTGACTTTTATATGGATTTAATAGCTACACTACAGGAATCCAGGCAATTCATAAACAACACATCCTTCGTTGCGCAGTTGAAAAATCGTATCACATTCATATTATACTACTACTGACTTATAGGCATTATCAAGGTTCTTCCAACATCCTCTCCAGAACACTAATTTGTGACAACAGACGGCCCAAGGAAACATAATTTTATAAAATAAAAAATGATTATTATACCACAGTCTGTGTAGAACTTGGCTTGTGCGCCAGCAATCAGCAACGACACTGTTATTAACAAAAACATTTTGTTTTTTTAATTTGATAAATTCGCGCGCTAACGGTGGTGCGACTCGCGCGTCGGTGACAGACTGACCAATCGGATGGACTATGTGTTGCGACCTTTATTGCCTTATAAAATGCGCGGGCGCAGGTCAAAGAGTAATAGAATGCTCAATAGATAGGCAACTTCACATCTCACCTAGTTAATCAATAACTAGTGTTCTTAACGAGTTTTGTTTTTAACAATCCTGCGGAAGGGAGCGTTAGGGAGAGTCAAAAATCGTTTGAAGGGTTAAGGGAAAATTTGTTAAAGCGAGATATGCTTTCAGTAAAATGTTTATGGAATATTGGAAGCGTCGCAATAAACATTTGTTATAAATAAATATTCCCATATATCCCTAGGATTTGAATAATTTAGACTAACGGCCGGTTTCTGAATTGAGAAAAGTACAAATGCTTAACTGATTATTCTCAATAACTTAAGTTTTTTATGTTTCACAAGGCAAAAAGTCCTAATTATCAAACTGCTATTAACTGATCATCGATTAAAATCAAAAATGAAAACTTGTTTAAGTATCGTTTTAGTACGGTTAAAGATGTGCTTAACCTTAAATTCTCAATTCAGAAACCGGGTGTTAGTATTCTGTAAAAAATACGTCCAAATTGACTAGAGAAATGTCAAGCAGATTTAACGTATTAGCTTTATGTTTTAATAGGTCTGTGAAAATTTGATAAAAATATTTTTCATAATATGAAAAGACAGTTAATTAGGCAGGACTTTCTCTTATAGAATAAACTTAAAATATTCAATTAAATAACGAGATATGAATTCGGAACTCAGACACACTTAGATAGACAGCCAAACACTTTATTGCACATATGAAAATTAACAGTTTACAGAATATTTATGGTTTTACAGTGGGCAAAGGCGTATTACAAAAACTAACTATAATTTGTATTATTTTATGGAAGTTAAATGTTAAAATAAATGACAGCACAGTCTGTAAGGAATTACAAACATAATTTATTCTTTGACAGTGACCGGAAGAGCATCGTACTTGTAGATCATACGCATGATTCAGGAAAATGGATGAATATTGCATTACCTCTATATCGACGTCGGTCGATGTAAACAATGACTAGGTATGACTATTCAGCCTCCGCGCTTCATGAAAATATAAAATTACAGGAGTCATTCTGTTTAGTTTTTAGGGGTCATCCATAAATTACGTCAAACTTAAGGAGGGGGGGGGGGTCGACGAATTTAGTAGAATTTATATAGATAAATATGTGACATGGGGGGGGGGGGTAAAAAATCCTGAATTTTGTGTGACGTAATTTATGGACGGCCCCTTATGAACTTCCCGCGACTTCACATGCCTAAATTATAGCCTAATAACACCTCCATTTATGTAGTTCCATAGGTGAAAGCGCATAGGCGATAGAATTTTCATGATCGGGTCAATATTTTCGAAGATTACAAACAAACAAAGGTAGAAACCTTACCTCTTTATAATATTCGTATAGATAAATACAATATTATTATTTGTGGTAGTTTCATTGGTTCGATTTGATTCAGAAAATATTTGATGCGTATATCATTGGTTTATTTAATTCATAGAAATTAATTTAAACCTAATGAGGAATAACTTGTGCATTCATCTGTATACTAAATAGAGTAAATTTTTGCAATGACTGGTTATTGGATGGCTGACTGAAAATTTACTATTTAGAGTTCATCCAATGAAGGTATTATTATTATTATTATTATTATTTAATTAGGTACGTCAACATCATACATATTTAACCTTTATAATACAATATTTAAACAATTACAATTTCTGATACATATGACAATTACAGACATACACAAAATTCATTTATTTATATTATTGCACATTCAAATCCTAAACACTAAATCAATAGTAATAAATTAAATCAATAGAACCAAAATTCATTAAATTAATCAAGTCAAATTAAATTTAAAAAAAACTAAATTAAAAAAAAAGGTAAGGTAAGCTGTTGCTTCCCGTCACATCTTATTACCACCGTCTCTACCACTTTCGAATCCTCACTGGGTTGGAGTTGGTACCCTATCTATGAACCTATGACGATGTCCTTTATTACCTACCTAAATAAAAAAAATCCCGTCCTTGCATCGTATTCCTCACTACTTATGGTCGTGGTCTTTATGATCAATTCATATATAGGAAGGATAAAAACATAATAACTTAAATTAAAAAAAAAAGAAATTGTTACTTACATAGAACATCAGTACCTGGATGATTGAGATTTTCTCGTTCATTTTTATGGTCTTATAAGATGATTTATTAAAATGAAATATAACTAGATCTTTTTTTCTCCCTCGAAACCCTCTACATGCCAAATTGCATGAAAATCGTTGCGAGCCGTTTCCGAGATTCTAATTATATATATATTTGAATTGCTCGTTTAAAGGCATCAGATTAGATTTTATTCAACAGGCACATTTCGATACATTTTATTAAACATTCCTTTTGTTTTATCTATTAACTAGCTTTTGCCAGCGACTTCTTTCATGAATTTGAGGATACTATACTAAATACCTACATAGAATGAAAAAAAATGATATATATTTTTTAAATGCTTTTTAAAATTGTTAGCATAAAGTTTAATTGATACGTTCAATGATATAACAAAATCTGTATTTAATTGGGTAGATTATTTCAGTACTTGGGTGTTTGTTTTTGTTTTGATTTATTTTTAACGACTAAATTAGCGCGTTTAAAAATAACATTTACAAAAACAATATCAAGTAAATACCTCGTTAGAAGGATTAATTTAAAACGGGTGTCTAAACATATTTATTTTCGTAGAATAATACTAATTTTAAAGACGGTTTAGGCATTCAAGAAACTTCCATTTAAGTATGAATAATAACCGCCCGACTTCAATGGAAGTTTCATGAGAGCATGAATCTAAAAAAATAAGTATATATTTCACTTTTTTAAAGACGGTAAATATATTTTTACAATCGAATCTGTTTAAGAGAGAAAACTTTATAAATGTTAGTTAGACTAATGTCTCGACGTTTTAACCCTCCAAAACCTCTATAAGTGAGGCCCAAAAACTCACTCTATAAGAGAAACTAATTTTTCACTAGTGAACCTTTAAAACCTACTCGCATTTGCCTCTATCTGTATCCTCTATCAACAGTCAAACCTATTAAACATATATAATAACTCTTTTAGTGAGATAGGCCACTTTCTAATTCTGTAAGCTAGAAACTCTGGTTAGTGAGTGAGCAACTCGTTTAAGAGAAAAAAAATCGTAGTCCCTCGCACTCTCTCTAATTCAGGTTTATCTGTATTATTGTGTAGTAATTTTATATCACATAAGTGATATATAAAAATTAATATGACATTACAAAAATCACAAAAATGCAAAATACACACACACACACACACACACACACAAATATACATGGTGCAGGTCGATTTTTTAAGCATTTTTCATTAAGAATATTGTTCTACAATATTAAGATAAATCATTAATAAGTCTGTTCTTTCATCAGGAAAGATTATAAATGAGAATTTCTGCATTAGGGTTGGATTATTGTGTATCGTTGAAAAGTGAGTAATATAACTAATTCTGTGAAATGTGTTAACAGAGAGATTGGGCAACGTGGTCGCACACGCGACCGTTCGTTGTGGCGTGATTCATAAACTAATAGATGAAGAGCTCGTGACAAAAAAGTGTATAAGTTTTCTAAAACTGGATATTTAGTATATCGATGTATTAAAGGCCGCCGTGACTGCCAGATCTTCTAACACCTGACCCCCGCATTGGGCACTCAGTGATGTATACCCTTAGTACTTTAACATTCTGAAATATCAAGCTTTCGAAAGCCTTTGCACATTTTTGTAACGAGCTCTTTGGCTATAAGGGTATTGAAAGGCCGTGGCGCATAGCATGTTAATATAAAAATTATGTAAATATTAATGGTGGACGAGATGTCAAATTAGGGAAAATAATATTTAACTTTTTACTACTCATGACATAATCCATGATAGTGATAACCAATAATTTTGTATGAATTATTATAGAGTTTAATACTTAAACTGACAAAGTTTATTATGTGAATCTTATCAGAGTGATATTAAAGACACCCGTAATGAAATCAAAGAATAGATCCATTTTATCTTTCTGAATGGCAAGTTATGAGATGAGTGACCAAGTTTTTAGTATCTCGAGCACGCTATGGCTTCTCCTCCTTGTTTTGCGTTCATAGACAAGAACTGGATATTATAATGATGCAATTATTTGTACTCGTGTCTGTCACCAAGAAGCTTCGTGTTAGTCGACTCCACTTGTTATAAATATTAACAGTTATTTTTTAATTTCATTCAGTTTCTCGTCTATTTGTTAATAATATCTGCTTAAGTTATGTCATTTTTTCAAGTAATTACATCTCACGACTATAGTGAGTATAATAGCTTGGCTCAAAGGTCCAAAGAGTGAAGTAAAAAGAAGGATATTTAGAAAGTTACAAACTATATAAAATAAGGTGACTGTTACTAATTAACTTCCAATAAAAAAATAATTAACTTACCAATTCCTATTTGGGGTTTTCTAAGCGCTTAAAACGATAATACAGTGCTAATCGTGGATACAAATAAGCACGCGCTAAAACGTTCTTAAAGCTTCTTTAATACTGGATTTTGCTGATTGGGGTAATAATTTTCTTTTTACACAGTTTTCTTAATATTAACAGTTCCTACTTAATTTAATTTTTGTTTGTTTGTAACAAACAAATGTTAAAGTAATTACTTCTACTCGACTATAGAGAGGGGTGTAAGACTTGAATAATGATTGAACAGGTAATAAGTTTATAACTTGAGCCCGAAGAAGAGGAAGCTGCCGTTTAGCGAGCATCCGGTGACAAAGAGACTATTGAAGACATTGTAACTTCTACTGTAAATTTACTAATATAACTACGTACTATACTAATATAATTGAGTAATTCGATGGCATAGTGGGTAAGCGCCGCACCCCGCGATCGTTGTTGTTAAGTAACTTTCGCGAGGATCATTCACGGAATGGGTGACCAAAAAAATATTACCTCGAGTTACTCCATGCTTCGAAAGACACGTAAAGCCGTTGGTC